ATTTTCTTTTGCAATTGAGTTACATGTACATGTACTCTACATGTATGGTCATATTTTCCCTTTCATCTTTGACTTATATTTTTACTTGCAAGTTTCAACATTTTTTTCTGCTGTTTCTTTATTGTCAACTCTACAAAGACTGGAAAAGAAATTTGTCACATGCAATTTAAACAGACTTCTATGAATATTGCACTTCTTGAATTACTAATTGACATGGGAATAGTTCTTTAATAAGCAGTTGTATGTCTCTTAAAATTTGCTGATGAGAGATCTTACATATGGGAGTTACATGTATGCTAAAGTAGACTAAACTATGTATTTTTCTGTGAAGAAATAGATAAAATAAAACACTCTCTACTGCCTCGAAAATACAATTTGATTCAATTTGAAAAAATTGTCGCTTTTTCATGAAAATACATCTTTCTGAATTATTGAAAAGTTGATTACTGAAAAGTCTCTAGAATAGTGCAGAGAAACAATTGTCTGCCTTCTTGTTGACCAATGAAATAATAATGATACAAATACATGTGGGTTTTTGAGACTTGTTAGTACTGCTGTACCTGAATCTACTACGGTCAATCAAGGCAATCAAAAACTGACAATTCTTTCCCTCGACACTAGAATATTATTCATTGACCATTTTTATTTGTTGTTATTACATTTCTAAGTTCTCATATAATCATGTATTGTTGCTATGTCAGCCAAGTTTAGGGCAGACTTCTTTGTTGGTTTTTTTTTGCCAGTTACCAAGAGAAGAAGGACTGTTTTTTCCCTATGGAGCCAGAAGGGTACTATTATTGATTATTCACATATACTTTCAGCATAGAATTAACACCCTTCTGGCTCTGAGCAGAGGATAATATTTCAGTTAAAAGAAGATTTATAAGTATTTGATTATGATGATGTTTATTTATTATTGTTTTCAGAACTTGTACAACTTTCTGTACCAGTCCAACAACATCACCCATCTGAACCTGGCAGACACGGATTGCTCTCTCAATCACATCTTTGAAGCGCTTCACAAAGGCTGCTTCTTAAGCATGGTTCATCTCAACCTGTCGGGAACCTTTGCTCATAGGTGAGACTTCATCTTGGTTGGTTGGTTTGGTTTACCTGACTGCTAAGAAAGCATGTGTGTGCTTGTAAGTTAGCAACCAGGGGACCAGCAGCTGTAAGTCCTCTCTGAGGGACTAGGTAATGAGGATTAATACCTTACCAAAGGGCACGTGCACATCAAATTGGTATTGAACCTGGGACCTCCAGGTTATGGGACCACTGCTCTACTACTAATTAGCCATCGTGCCTTTAAATATCTTCATTCTCTATGTTCTGGAACAAAGAGAACATGAAAATGGGATAATTCAGCAAAATGTAGTGCCATGTGGAATATGTACTTATGATAGCTAAAAACACAATTTTTTTTTACATGATTTAGGTTCCTGATTCTATTCTTGCCAATGCTGACTCACTACTAGACCCTTTTGACCATTACATTCCAATATATACACGTAAAACCTCAAAATAAATGCGTGCTCAAATTTTGCTAAAAAATTGTAAAAATTGCCAAATGAATTTTTTATATTTTTAAGTAATGACATCATATTCATTATAATGTTAAGATGAGTATATACCACTTATTCTTGTACAAGATACAAGTATAATCTCTAGTTTTGTAATTTTCCCCCCAAACGACGTGAGATGACATTCTCATGAGCTCTTGTGCATGTTTTGTTTTGTCCAGTAAACATCATTCCGCAGTGCCAAGACAAGTCAAGAACTTCTTCACCTCAGCCAGAAGCCTCAAGACTCTCAACATGTCCAGGAATAGATGCCCTCCAGCACTAGTCAGGTTAATTCATTAGAACAGAAATTGTCATGATTGAGTTTTGATTTAGATTACTAAAAATTGACTGGAAATGAATTGATTTTAAATTGATTTTTTTAATTTGAATTATTGGATAAATTTTTTTTTAAATAATTGAAATGAATGAACTTGAAGAATTGATTAATGTGACATTGTTTTTCAACTTAGCTGAAATATTGAATTTTGAATTAATTATCACATTTTGGTTATTTTTTCAAAACTTTTTAACAAGAAATAGATAATTTTATTAATTGGGATTGTATATGGTTAGATTGAATTAGAAGCTAGGATTATCCCTCAGGACAATAGCCTCTTTTACACTTTATTTATCTCCTAATACTGAAAATGCATGTACAGTTGAAAACTGACAACTGAATTATTATTCATACCCCTAGTAAATCTGATGTTTGGTGTGTTTTTTTGTAACTCAGAAAGAAAGGTGGTCTGATTGAATTCTGGGTTTTGTGCAATTCTTGTAGATGTAAGCTTGAATATGTGACATTCTCAAGAAACATACATGTAAATTGGGACATATCAATTTTTTCACATACATAGAAACAATTTACAAAAAAGGTAAGGGTATGAATAATTTAGTTGTTCACTATGTCTGTTTTATCATTTTCATCAAGTTTCATCAAGATTGATTGATTTTAATTGACCTTGATGATATATCTTGTTTTTTCAGAGAGATCTTGGAAAGCATTGGTTACAACAAGGACCTGGAGAGAGTAGAGATTGATCTAAGCAGCAATGAGGTAATTTGGTTTAGCTTGTAAGGATTAAGGATGGGGATGGGTTCAAGGTCACGGAGAGGAAGAGGGAGAGGGCGAAGAATAACAAGAACTGCAAGGAGAACTACAAGAAGAACTACTTGAAGAAATATGACAAGGACTATGAGAATGACTATGAGAAGGACAACGAAAAAGAATTGATTTTTTGTTTTTAATAAAATTTAAAAAATGTAGTCAGCTCATTAATATTAGCACATACGGTTCATTTCTTTTCATTTACCCATTAGCTTGGTCAAGAAGGAGCTGATGCAATCAGTAGCTGTATCTCAATGCTGGACAACGTCACAACACTCAATCTCCGTGACAACAGCTTCAATGTTGCCATGGTATCGCTGGTAGCCTGGATGGGACAGAACCGCTCCTTAGAGTCTGTAGACCTCAGTCAAAACATGAACCCTAACAGCAAGAAGTAAGCTTATATTTTGATATTTTATAGTCTTTTCATTACTTCTGTTTTACCTAAGTGTCATAATTGTCTGCCTAGAATGTATAGTTGGTGTTAATTTTGTCTAGGATTAGGTTTAAACAATCTTTGATAGAAATGAGCAATTACAACAACAAAAAAAATCAAAAATGGATATCATTTGAAGACTTAAATTTGTGCTCAATTATTTAATGACACATTTATTAAAGGATTAAAGAGCCCAATTAAAAATGAAATTTTAGGCATTTTGCCTGAATTATAATCCTGAAGGGATGCAATTGGGCCATGTGATTTTCAAAGATGCCTTTTTATTGTTTATTTGCCTCTTTTATTTCAGAGCTGACAGAGAGAAGGTGGTGGTTGCTCTGGAAGAAATGATACAAAACCCAGACCTGGTGAGTTTAATATTTTATCTTCACTTTCAAAGAAATAATTTATTTTGAAATGCACTGTTTGCATTTATGCTCCAAATCAGTTTATTTGGGACTTTATGAATGGAATAGCAATGGATTAACTTGAACTAAATATGTTTATAGTTTTGGCTTGCCTCCCTCATACAGTGAAACCTGCTTAAGCATCCACCTGTATAGAAAGACCACTTGTCTCTAGAGACCACATTTTTGGGTTCCCCTTGAAAAGTGATTTTTATTGACAAGTGTTGAAAGGAACCTGTACTTAAAGATCACCTGCCTATAAAGACCTCTTCTTGTCTCACTTGAAGGGTCTTTATAAACAGGTTTCACTGTATATATAGGAGGAGAGTGTTTGAGATATTGCATTCTGTAACAAATTGTTACTAATTGCCTATAGCTTCCTCAAGAAGAACTGGAAAAGCATGTTTTAAAGTGTTACTAACGGAATGTTATGAAGTTGATGAATATATTACTTGTGTTTTTAAAATGAAGTATCTATCAGAAAACTAATATTGTGCTTGCTGTTTGGGCATGTTGTCAATTACGAACTAAACATTAATCTCATTATTATGTACAGATTTTGATGAAAGTCAGTGTCTGGTTATGCGTAGGTGGCTGATGCAGTTCAGTTCATTAAATGCCATTGTCGTTGTGAAAGCTTTTAAGTTTTGTTTTTAATTTACGCATCTTAAATTCCTGTTTTCAGAAGTTGTAATCAAGATACTGTTATATGTTTGAGAATTTTCTTTGTGATGCTTTAGAGAACAGATAAGTGATTACACCCTAATTGCTGGCATTGCATTTTTCTGCATGTATTGCCATGAAAATTCATTGTGTTTGCTGTGTTTCTTTTTTGTCTGCTTTTTGTTGTTCTTGTTGCTACCTGGTCTGTGATTGGTCAACGTAGCCTCTTCACACCATTCAACTAGCCAACAACCGATTCCGTTTGGAGACTCAACAACTGATCAATGCTTTAGGCAGTAACACAACTTTACTGTCTGTGGATCTCAGGTAATACTGTTCTTCAAGGGAATCTTCTGATCATTCGTAACCGTTATTAACTGCTCACTGATTTAGACAATAACCCCACCCTTTGTTTTGTGAATCTCTCATAATAACTGTTCCCTAAGGAACTGTTGTAACATTCATTAAATTAATTAATGATTAATGCACAAGGTATGAACACAAACATACATTTTGTAGACTTTTGATTGATACTCTGCCTATGGTTGAATACGTAAACAATCATAGCATTTTCATCCTAGTATCTACCTTTGTATTTATGCTTGCTTTGATTTTTGACAAAGTGTTACATAACATTAATAACTCTTTTGATCCTTTGAAGATCCTTCTGCAATTCATAACAAGTCTAGGAAATACTCCAATAATAGTAGTTATTCAATAAAAGCTAAATACCTTTAACAATTGGCAAATTGAGAACTTGTTTGGACATTTGTAGAGACATCTACACTTATAATCTAGTGTAAAAAGTTCATCTACAAGTATGTTATGAATGTGGTTGCTGTATATTTCTCATTCAGTGGCAATGAGATGAAAGACATCGGGGCTCGACTACTTGCCAAAGCTCTCCAGATCAACAACAAACTACAGGTGGTGGTCATTGACAACAACAGCATCGGTGTACAAGGTTTTCAAGATCTAGCTCAAGCAATGGAGAGGTAAGGACTGTTCACACTGGATCTAATGTACGTTGATAACCATGTCTTGATGAGATTTGAGAACCATTTTCACCTGGGTGGAGGGTGGCAAAATGCAGATTAATGTCTTGCCAAAGGTTATTCGTGCTGGGCTGGGATTTGAACCCTCCACCTTGCGATCAAGAGTCTAGTAGCTATACCATGACAATTTTATAGACATTGTTTAGAAAGGCAACTTTTTTTCTGTTGCTACTTGCCCTATAGGTGGTCCTTTATAATCAGGTTTGTCTGTTTATTGATGACCTATGCGTAGTGCATATCCACTGTTAAAGCCCCTCTGCACTAGTTTGGCCAGGAGGGATTAGACCTCCCTGCATGGTCACTGACGATTGGTTATCCCATCAAATCAGCTCTCAATTAACATAAGAAAAAGGGGACCATGGGGATCAATGGTCACCGTTAAGGCATTGTTTGCAATATAGAGGGCGCAAGTAGCCATAAGTAGTGCAGTGGGGCTTTAAAAGAACCACCTCTTAATTGGTGCAGGAATTTCACCATGAAGAAGATCCCGATTCCTACATCTGATATGATAGCATCAATGGGGAGGAACCACGAGAAGACTGAAACAGCCATCCAGAAGATCCAGGAATACCTTCAGCGTAATCACAGTCCAAGGAAGTTCTCTAACAAACAAGCTTTCCTCCTGCAAAGAGGATTCCTCTACACAACAGCTCACCAGGTGAAAGATCATTTCATAAGTGCTAAGTCCTATGCTGAAGCACTATTGGTTCCAATAAACTAATATAAACAAATAAATATTTGTAAATCAGTCCAATGTATAGCTTTTATGGTTTAAGATGGATTGTGCTAAAGCCATTACGATACATCAATGAGTCTCTCTGGAATACTTGAAGAATAATTTTTAAACAAGGCATTTATAAATCTGACCTTTTTATCAATCATATCTTGTTACTGCAGCTCAAAGTCTCTGCTTGTCCATCTTAATTTCTTCCCTTACATCTGCATCTATAACGATGTGGATAATATAAGTCACATCCTAGATTTAAAGGTTAGAAATAAGAAAGCTCAAGTTTCAGAGTATGTGCCTATAATATTTGTGACATTTAAAGAACAATTATTATCACTTGTTCATATTAAACATGTATTTACACAATCTTTTGAATCCACATTCAAATGCTCTCTTAAGTTCATTTATACAACATATGCAAAAAGTCTCTAACAATTTTAAAAAGAAAAACTTTTTCACCTTTTCAATCCAATCCTCAAAGTGTTTATTTGAGCACCTTTTCATTGCAAATACTTTAAAACAGTGTAAGATTTGCCACACAATATGTAAGCTGTGAAAAATATAGTTACACAGGGCAAGTTTTTAACTCTATTTGGGGTAATCTATTCTAAACGATATTTGGCATTCTTTCACTAAAGAGAATTCTAAATGCTTCCTTTCAGATGGTAGACAAGTTGGTTGTTCACATAGAAGACATGGCTACAGAACTCACCCAGAAGTCGGACATGGAACTCCAAGAAAAGATCAGCAAGGCTAGAGGTCTCATTGATGATGCCAACAACTCCAAGAAGGTAAGCTTTGATGCAGTCTTTAGGTACAGAGGGGAACTTCTTCCAGAGGTACAAGTGCAGGAGTGGCAATGGTCACATGTTAGGGTCTTAACAGTCTTTGTAGCATAATTTTGCCCAATATTTGTGAATTATTTAATTGGTTTCATTGATAATAGCAACAAATCTAAGAAGGTAAGAAGGTGTGGAGTTGTGCCCAATATTTGTATATTAATTAATTGTCTCATTGATAATAGCAACAACTTCAAAAAGGTAAGCCTTAGTGAGAAGGTAAACTTTTGTGATTTCATATTCTTATTAATTATACATGTAGATATTGAGCAGTCATCTCTCTTACATATCTAGCTGTAGATTTGTATTTGTATAAACGATATTTAAAGAAAAGTTAGAAAAGGGTAACATGTTTTTATGATATTAGTATGGGTACATAATGACTCCCAGACCAACACTAAACAGGCATGGGAAAGCCCTCACTTTTGACATCTCAGTCTACGTCATCTTGTCATGGGAAAAGTAAGAGTGAACTTTCATCAAGTCTCTATAACCTTGGAATAAATCTTCAAGGATGTAGTTTAGTTTTCAAAACCATTGCTACACCTGTATTGAACTTCAAGATAAAGTTGAGTTCTGGTCATGTGATTGCATTGTAAAAGAAACGGTGTGGAAGTGATTGGAAAAGGTTGTTCATGTAGCACATATTAGTGTATACTGGGAGGGTTTGGAATCACCAAAATGATTAGAATTGGGCTCAGCCTTGCTAAGAGGCACATGCACTGGATACAGAAATGTATATGGGACTATACACAAACATGTGGCATAAAATTGTGGTCCACAACCTTTAACTGTTACTTGTCATATTTTGAATATGAGAGCATTTTGAAAAGGGTATCCTTATTAGAGGAAGTATTTTAATGATACTCTACAGTACAACATGAACATTAAAAAAAAAGAAATAAAAGGTCACAAATTATTTTTCACCTGTCCTAAAACTAAACCTGCTCTTTAACAACCACGCATTACTAAAGCTAAGGTGAACTTGGGTGTCAAATTCATAACAGTTTCCTGATGTTTTCACTGATGCATACAGGAATGAATCCCATAGTGGTCATAGACGTAATCTGATTGGAAATGGTTTCATTCGCAGTCAATTACCTTGTCAAAGTAATATTCTGCTATAAATGACAGAATTTATTGGCTTTTGGCTCATTTGTGAAGGTGAGAGTGGTGTGCCAGTAAGTTATTTTCATTTTATGAATAACTTAAATTTTATTGTATCTGCACTTTGATAGTGGAAGGATTCATCAAGAAAGGAATCAGTTGCGATGACTGAACTTCATTAAATCAAACTTTATATGAATAACCAAGCAACTTGAGTTTCATATGAAGTGTTTCTGAAATTTACTTTAGAATCCAAATTTTCTTTCAATAGTAGAAATCTTCTGATATACACCATTCCCTCAACCATGGCGAGTATCTAACAGTTTTTTTTCCTGTTTTATGAATTTCCTCCCAGATCTATGACATCCTGCAGATGGTTGTAGGACGATCAAACGACGAGGATTTGACCGAGAAGCTAAGATCGATTGCTTGCCTCATAGAATCAGAGATGGAAGCACGTCTAGAGGTAAGAGCAAATTGTATTAATAAAATAACACCTGGGGGTGTTTCACACAGACTAAGATCAACTTTAAGTTGAATTAATTAAGGCAGGCTTTTCATGCCACTAGTTCCTCTAAAAATTCCAGACATTGGTTTCTCAAGGGATGTACAAATCATGGTAAATAATCTACAGAATTTACATTTTTTGAAAGTTCATTATTGAAGGAAAAAATATTATCTAAAGATCGTAATTGAGAGACCAGTGGTAAGAGCAACCAGTGGCATGAACAGCCTGCCATAGTTAAGTCCAACTTAAAGTCGATTTTAGTCTTTGTGAAACACTCCCCTGTTTCTTATAAAGTGCTTTGCCATTAATTGACCAAAGAGCTTTCAGTATAACCATTACCCCAGTCACTGGATTCAATTATTATTCTGCACATAGCAGTGCTCATTCTCCACTCCCTGGGGAGCATTCCAGCTAGTTGCATTTTTACGGTTGTGCACATGGTAATCCAACCACGGTGACGTTCACATCCTACCGGGTATCTATTTAATACCTGGGTGGAGAGGAACAGTGCATGTGGATAAAATGCCTTGCTAAAGGACATAAGTACTGTGCGGGGGCTCGAACCCATGACCTTTGCATTTCCAGTCAAATTATTAAATCACGCGACTAGGACATCTCTACAAATTCTTCAAGAAAATTTCTATCCTGGATTATCTGACGCATGCTTCAGAGACATTTGTGATACAGAAGCAATAACTCTGGGCATTATTATGTGAAAGTTGTTGGGTATATGAGGGTTGTGATTGGGTTCGGGGTTAGGGTTAGGGTTAGGTAATATGCTGGACTTTACAGCTGAAGTTGCCAATTAATGACAATGTAGTAATTAATGGTGGCACAGGTCAAGAAAAGGAAGATTGCAAAGTATGGGCACTGGAAAAGAAGAGAGGAGAGTGTTGTACTAGCAATTATCGAAGGCGAAGTTGAAGGGAAGTGTCGAGTTGGTAGACATCCTGCAAGATCGATAGACAACATTAAGGATTGGGGAAGGTGGAATGAGAGTAGCGAGTGTGAATGCGTGAGAGAGAAGCCGACGGTCCAGACGGGCTACGGTATAACACATTAGTAGTACTTATTCTTACTAGAACATGTGTTGTACAAGTCTATACCTTGTTGGGAGAATGCATATCAAGTTTTCCTCTTCAATTATTATCAATTAATTAATTACTTTATGGCTGCTAAGGTTTTATAAACATACTTGTATTCATGAAATTCAAGTAAAGTAAAATATCCATTCGTATATATTCAAAGAAAGAGCTGCCCATATTCTTTTTAGTGGTTAGAGTCATAATCTGGGAAAGGGGTCACTCATTTTCAGAGATCTAATTGGTATGCTAATTCTCTTTAATAAGAAGATCTCTCACAGTCTCATTCTCAGTCTCCTCATTCCTCGCATAGGATGTAAAGCCATAGGTTAATGGCTGCTTACATGTTTTAAGTTGAAGTGCACCAATCACCAAAACATGTTTTGATCTCGATGTAATGGATTCCATGTCGCTGTATTCAAAATATTACTTCTACAAAGAAATATAGCAACTTGAATACATTCTCAGTGAACAGTATAATGTCTTGTTGAGTAGACTAGGCACACATACACACTTGCATAGAGCTGGACCCTAGATACGTTGGGTTTAATGTTAGCCTGTATTTTCTTCATACTCCTTTTACCTATACAACGCATGGTAAAGTTTTTTAAAGTCGATTTTATACATTCTAGCTATATACACATTATTTTTTCTAGTAATTGGTACACTTTACAAGGATACACACGTATTCTCAGCATTTTAACAATCAAACAAACTCATTTATGGCCACCCCTCTAGAGCCTGCTATGAACGACGGCATTGAATTTGAGTGTACCCCCCTCTATGGATGACTCATTGAAATGAATAGTAAGACTCTTAACGAGTTGAAGATACATGTACCTTGTAGATAGTATGCACAGTCTCTACTACCCACTCTCTGTTGTGTTTGGATTCTTAATAAGGATTACTCTACAAAGTAAGTTTGACTCCTATCATTCTATCAAAAACTACATTTATATCAAGTGTAATGTCTATTTCTCGAATGTTCATTGCTTTGTAGCTTGGTGCCATTTTGATTGATTTTAAATATATGTTGTGAGCTTGAAAGAACTCTGTTGAATGAAAGGCTACATGTTTATTTACCATTTTCAATGATAATTTCTGCACGATGAATCTATTTCAGTCTGAAAATTCTTCTTCTAATAATTGTATGTTTGGATTAAGAAAATAATCATTTGTACTAACGGTGTACTTGTAGATTGAATTTCTTATGTAGTGTCAAGAAAGTAACTATTCTGCATAACTTATTTTTGATAATTTCGAAATCTGATATAAAGTGACTTAGCTTTTAGTATCATTCCATACAGTACCTATCACTTTGCTTGTTTACTTTAGAACTTTTGTCTTAATGTATAAGCTAAGTTGATATGAAAAGTCACAGTTCAGTCAGTGAGGTGTAGGTCTTCTTGATCTTCAAATGAATGTTCAGTTTGTTTGTTTTTGTTTGAAAAGATGTATCAAACTGTATCAAGCTTCATTGTAGTGATATCATGTATGTACTGAAGATACCCCTTACCCCTGGTGTATGTTGATATGGATATGTCGTTGCACAACAAGTCCCTTCCTAAGCCAGTATCCATAAATCAGAGAAAGTGAGCGTGTTTGAGGGTTCTATGTTCGCTTGCTTGCTTGCTACAGGGTTTAATTAAAACAGGAAGTATTGTAGGGAAGGGTGAGTAACTGTGTGATAGATCAGAAGGAATTTACCCAAAGACAGCCCCCGTCTAATTATTAAAGGGAGACCCACTAGACTCACATAATCTCAGTTTTCTTGAGAAATAGTTTCATTACGTTGTTTTGAAGTTTAACTTGAAGTTGACTGTGGTGCTCAAGGGGTTTACAGCTTTGACAGAAAATGTCTTTTTCTTTTCTCGAGCTCTTTCAAGAGTCTATTTGGAAAATAATGTATTTTAAGCCCCTCTAAAGTGTTGGGACTCTTGGGAGCCCCAAACATTTGATGACAAAATGTCACTTAAATTGAATCATAATGTGAAAGAGGATGTCATTTAAGACACATTTCTGCAAGGATTTTCAAAACAAATGTGTTTGAAGTTGAATATTCATGAAAGAATACAAAATTTAGGTTTTCTGCATACAACAGAAAACCCAAATTATGTATTTTTTCATCAATATTTGTCTTCAAACACATTTTTAGGGGGAAATCTTTGCAGAAGTGTGTCTTAAATGACATCCTCTTTCATATTATGATACAAGTTAAGTTACATTTGCCATCAAATTTGTGACAAATTTCAAGGGCTCCCAACACTTTAGAGAGGCTTTAATCTATCCTTTGCCTTTCCTTTCGTACCATTTTTTCATTGGAATAACATGCCATGCACTCACATCTGTGAATGATAATTAAGGCTGGGTAATACTTGTAATATTCAAGTGACAGGAACATTATTGCCTAATGAATGCTGTAGAAAAACATATGTATGATTGTGCATGGTCTTCCATGTTCCCCCCTCTCTCTCTCTCTCTCTCTCTCTCTCTTTATTATCTCTCTCTCTCCCCCTCTCTCTCTATCTATCCTTTCACTATCTTGCTCTCTCTCTCTCTCTCCCCCTTTCCTTCTTGACATTCTTTGCTGCACTCATAAACAGTGCATTTAGTGCTACAATAATGTTATCTTTATGCAATATTGTTGCACAACAGATTCAACTTCACATGTATTGCTTAATTGTATACATGTATGTCATGATTTGTGACCTTTAACCTTTGACCTAGTGCTATTCAGTCACTATGAGGCACCTCAGACATCTGGATGTTAACCTAACCTCCATTGAGAGTGTCATAGATCACAGCTGGATAGTGGCATGACACTTGCTGTCATGTTACATTAACATGATGAGTGGACTTCAGTGATGAGTACTAAAATAACTTGACTATATGAAGAATTCATGCATGCATACAGTCAAAGAGGCAGACCTACTTTTTATTCTTTTCCAGAGGTCCAAGGGCAAAGGACAAAATTTTAAAAGACCAATCATTTAATTTGAGTAAAAAATTAGAATATTCATAAAGAGTTTAAAACTTACAAACAAATTAAACTTTTCTTTGAGGAAATCTAATCTTTTCTATGAAAATTTCAAATGAGACATAATGCAAATGATTTTGGAGTTTTGTTGGACAAGAACATTGTGCATGAATTATGTCTACTGTACTGCATTACTGCAGCTATTGTTCAAGTGTTGATATCCTAGTTTCATGCAAGAGAATGAAGACTTTAGATTAACCCCTCTTCACCTGTTGTTACAGTTTCCAGAAAAAGGCCCCTCCACATACAGGTTGGAGCATATATTTTATTATCAATATTTGTTTAAATATTTGATTATCCTTACATCTAGAACTTAGTCTTATCTTTAATCTTGTCTGGCAAATGATAATCGTGTCACAATGTCTGGAGGTGTCTGCCAAATTGGCACTCTCCGATGACCAAGTCCATAACAAATTCAATTTTCAGCTATGATTAGATCTCAATATTTTTCAAGATTCGGATCCATTTTTATTACAAATTGTATCAACAAATAAAAGAAGCAATTTTGAGAGGTTGAATTTGTTTGTATTTTTAGTTTGTTGTTTAATTGAATATTGGAAAATAAAGAATGAAGCTGGGGCCTTTTTCATTCTTAATTCATGACATATTATGTTCATGCTTTGTTCTATAAAGCCTAATATGAGAATTAAAGGATGTATTGTTTAGAATGGGTTGCAACAATTGCAGTGTGTATATTTTGTCTTTTGAAAACAATGTCAAGTATTGTTTTGTGTTTTCCCAGTAAAATTGTCTTCAAAATATTCAGCTGCGACGAAGCATTAAATATCAGGGTTTTTTTACCAGCAAAATAAAAGTATGAAATCTAGCTGAACATGATCTGACTTATTGTATATTTAAAATCGATATTCAACTTCGTTTCGAGAATAATTTTATGTGTCTTTAGTCTTTACCAGGCCATTATAATGTTATACCCTTCCACTGCTGAAGGTAGTTAAAAATGCCAAATAATTTCAGACCACAAAAAAATATAATTTAGTTTTCTTTTAGATATTCAAACAAGTTCATGAATTGTTAAGTTAGATAAATTATTGTGAAACATGATCTGTTTCTAGATGAACAATGAAAACAAAGTTTTATTTGTGGATTGTGAACAATGTTTGTAAACTAAAGTACTTCCTGGTTTGCATACTGTAATGAACATTTGTTGCTGGGTTTGACATGTCCGACATTAGTTCTTCGTAGTTGTCAGGGGCAACCTGTATTAACAATAACAACTTGTATGTGAAGGCCAGTATTAGATAGACTGATCATTTTTTATTAAACAAAGGCTGCTTATAAAACATGGAATGACATCCCACTTTCCATCAGAGAAATTACCTGCCTTGCCACTTTTAAAAGATTCATTAAAACATTATTCTTCCCTCTAAATATAATGTATCTACCGGTATTTTACAAGTCTATGTATTTCGTGATTTCTCTTCAAATGCTGTGATTTTGTAAGCCCTTCGGCAATTTTTATTTTGAACACTCCTGAATAATTGATAGTATTATTATTATTATCATTTAATATGGATCTTTAGTTTCAGGATTTTTCTTTCTTTCATTGATTGGGTCTGAATGTGGAATAGGAGACTAGCATTGCCCTCCTCGTCATGTAGTATTCATGATCATCTCACTGTAATGCTGTATCAACCGAGTTAAGGATATTTACGCTAAGGCTGTCAAGGAAATGGGCTCATTTGACTTCATTTCCTTCTCCTTCAATCGAGAAGCCCTTGGTGCCTCGTCTCAATGTATGCCATATGCTTCAGCTTCAAATCGGCTTCACTTTGACACTTCAATTGTGTTCACATCACAAAGGAAATTACGGGCCACATTCTGATTTTCACTCGGTGTTAACACCACTCTTGGAACTATTTATAAGCAAGGCTCTGGTATTTAAGCTGTGTTTACATCTACAAGATTAGTCATTCATTGGAATTAGTTAGAGGCTGACAGTTATGCTGTGTTTACATTAATCAAGGAAGCAAGTGACATCTTGACAGTTATGTTGTGTTCACATGAATAGAAACAGGTAAGGTTCTGCCACGTGTGCTGTGTTCACACCAGACAAGACAAGGAAACAGACAAAGACTGTGTTCACACCAGAAATAGACACATCCCAAGATTCTGCCATTATGATGTGTTCACATTAGGCATGGAACAAGGAAATCTTCCGATATTTTGTGTCATTCTCGTAGTAGTAGTAGTAGTAGTAATACTTGAGCGCTAGTTAGTTTGGCGGCTCAGCTATAACCAGGGTAATAATGTCCAAGGGTCATGAGCGTCACTGCTTGGCCATTATTAGTAGTCACTAGCTGCTGGGAAATGAAATACCTTTAGCTCGGCCTTAATCTTCTAATTTTTGTCATTTCTTAAATTGGCTCTTGTACCTATGTCATAGGCCATCCATACCATCGATGGCATGTGAGATCTTATTTTTTGCGATTTGTTTATAGTAGACATCAAACAAACAAAAAAGAGAGAGAGAGAAGTTGAAATTGATTGTGCATAAATTGCCTATTATTGTACACAATGGCTTTATTGACATAACCAAAATCATGTCCGTATGCGGTAGCATGCATTATGAAAACATCTCTTTCTTAATAGTATAGAAGGTAAAGGAAACATACATCATACATGTACTTTGTACAAGGCTGCCTGCTCTCTGTCTTGTGCAAAGTTTGGGGTATGTGACTGAGTGCAAACTTTGCTTGTGTATGTATAACTCTTATTGGACAAGGAAGTTAAGTGCATGGATAGAGATTGGAAGAAACATGGGTAAGAATACTCTCATTGTGACCCAATATTTTTGTTATTCATATTATATGATTATGTAATCAAATATACAAGCAATGTCTGCCTAGAAACATTTGTGCAACTTATTATAATCGAGTCAAAATATTGGTGGAATCTATTTTCATCAAGGATGATAATCTTTTGGGTGAGTAGACGTTTACTGGAAATTCATTGTGAAAAGATGTGTCATGAGTCTTTCTGTTATTGTCACAAAAAGGACACTTTGTAAAGCTTTTTATTTTGTTAATGCCTGATATTTATAGAAAAAAAACTGCAATCAAGTATCTTGTTGGTATTTAAAACTCAAAGAATTATAAGAGATTAATAAAGTTTTCTGTTGGATTTAAACCTATATAAGAACCAATGCGATATGACACCCATCACATGCTCAAGACATGTTGCGGTTAATGAGTCATATTGATATCACTAGCAGGCCGGGAGAAGGGGGGGGGGGGCTGTTTGTTGAAGATATATGCATGAAGTTGTAAAATTATATCTCGAATAACGTTAAAAAGAATGGAGGGATGCAGGTACAGATTTGGCAGTGAAAAAAGAGATGGTACATGTATACAACTTTTGGGATAAGATACAGAGTGGGATGATGTTGTTATTTTTATTCGGCAAAGACAAAATCAAGAAACAGTGAGTACAAAACAACAGTAAGATTTAAAATGAGTCACATGAAGGCTGGGAAAAGAAATGGATTAACTTGATAACTATAAATCAGAGGTCTTCTTTCACAATCCATTGGGGGGGGGGGGGCAGACAGAGATAGAGAGAGAGCCCTTCAATCTAAATTTGATTGGCATTCAGGAAGGGGGCTTCCCCTATTCAAAGAGCACACATGGGTTCCTATACAGAGGTCAAGTCAGGAGTTTGGTAGTCTTGCTGAACTAGACCCGACTAAGCATTTCATTCATAAGCCTTGATCAGACCCTATTGGTCGATTGAAAGATTATTATAAGAATCTTTTCCTGACCTTAAATAAATCGGTTTTCAAACTTGCTGTGGTTGTATAGTGTTGCCATGTTCTCCAGAATTTACAGGTTCACTATGAACATGTATATATGTGCTTCAAGATTCTACACAATCTCAAATGATCGTAATGGATATGAGCAATTCGTTTGTCGATTTGAAGGAAAAATTAGCAGTAATTAGCAGTACACAGAAACTCTTACCTAGCCAAAGTACAGCATTCACAGTATTTGCCAAATCCATGGCCTTGATAGCGTCTACCTTGAAATGAAAAGAGAGACAAACATTATGGCTGCAATGTTCTCTTTATGTAGTTACAGCTAATAAACATGTCCTAATGGAGACAACTAGTGTTCCTGTTGCCACTCATTACCTGTCATCATCACCAAGAATATTAGGGTGTTGGGTTTGTTTTTGGAGACACTCAGTTTTCTGAAGGTTTGTTTTTCTGAAGATTCAATTTTCTGAAGTTTTTTTCTTCTTCTGAATTCATAATTCCAAGGGTTTTTAATTAAAAACTAAAAAATATTTTCCATTCCAGGGGGTTCATAATTTGGAAAATGAAATATGGTTCATTATTCTATACCTTTGTTGCTTTATTTTGAAGGTTCATTTATCCAAAGGTTAATAATTTTGAAAGGGTTCATACTTCTGAAAATAAAATGGGGTTCGTTAGTCCCAAGGTTTATCATTCAGAAAAAACAAAACAGGGTTCTTGTGTTTTTTTTAAATAATGAAACCTATTTCATTTTTGTAAATACAAATCTTTTTATTAACGAGCCTTCAGATACACGACATTTAACTTTTAATAGATATCTTTCCCATGGTGTATTTGATCCACATAATGTTGAGGTACAAGTTAGTCCTAGAAGGGTGTATGATTCTATGGGATGCTGAAGGGGGATGGGTACAGGAAGATGGGGCTTCCCCTACAAAGATCAACGCAGGGTAAGAGAGGTCAATGTGAGGATATGTGTAGTCTTTTATTTCAGACTGTACTGCTCTGGACTCGACTGCTATGATACTACTATGAACCTCTTTTCACATTGTGCACTCATTCTGTGCCAAATCATTCACTGAACCACTTGGTTCTCATATTTGCTTTACCAAAATTTCCTTCCATCTTCTACTGGTTAAAAGGAAATCCAACCCAAATAGGCAACTACTCTAAAAGAAAGCAGGAAAATCAGAGAAGCAAACTGATGAAAGTTTCCATTAAATCTGACTAGATATAAGAAAGTTATAAATTTTTGGAATTTTAATCACTATATGTATGGGCACTTCAAATTGGCTGAAGCAAAGATTACAGGACACTGAACGGCAAAGAGTCAATCGGTTGAGAGTTGGTCTGGAGAAAGTCTGTGGTGTGACTGAAGTGTAGCACTCTTTCCCTTTGTGATGTAAAGGTGTCGGGGTCGAGTGGTTTAATCACTTGACTTAACACGCAAAGGTCCTGGGTTCAAGCCCTGGTTTGGTACTTTAGTCCTTGAGCAAGGCACTTTATCTACCTTGCTCCTCTCCACCGAGGTTTTAAATGGTTACCCGGTATGGTGCAAACAACTTTGCAGTAGGATCATTGAATGCATATTCTTAAAAAGGCGACTAGCTGGAATGCTCACCATGGTGTGGACAATGTTCACTGTAATGTAACAAACACTAATTGAATCCTTTGACGGGGATAAAAATAATACTGCTAGCATATTTGTCAGTTAATAGTAAAAGGGCTTTGTAAGAAACAGGTGTCATCAATGTCAAACACTTTGAAATTGATTATTTTAACCACAACAGAATATTTTCCAACAAACTGTTTTGTGCTTTTTCTCAATGATCCTGCTACTTTCATTTACAAAACTAATTTGTCATTGATTTTATATATGTTGTATTACAGTGGAAAATAAATTATTAAATTTTACAGCGGAGGGAAATGATATGAAATAATTTGATTTGAAGATTTTAGAACTCTATTTGGTATATTTAAACTGTAAGATAATTTTAGCTTATTTAAGATGTGCAAAGATATTCTATCTCATTTTATTTTTGCTGCTTCCTACAGCTTACTGCCAATGGCATGGTAGACGGGACCAGCCAACTATGTAGCTATGTGATGCAAGATCGAGGTCTGTATGAGAAGATAGAAGATACTTGTCGTGAGCATTACAAGCTACCTCAACGCTTCGTAGAGGACCTTGTGGATCAGATCGGTGCTGAGACTAGTAATCAATGCAGGTAAGAATACGACATCTCCACCAGGGTTTTTTCACAAAGACTAAGAACGACTCTAAGTTGGACTTAACTATGGCAGGCCATTCATGCCACTGGTTGCTCTCACCACTATGATCTTTAGATAATATTTTTTCCTTCAATAATGAACTATCAAAAAAAATGTACATTCCGAAAAAATGTGACCATGATTTGTACATCCCTTGAGAGACCAATATCAGTAAATGGTGAGAGAAACATTGGCATGAACGGCCTTAAAGTCGATATTAGACTTTGTGAAACACTCCCTAGAGGGTTTAAACCAAAGTCTTGTCAAATATATTTTTGGCAATGTCATATAAAACATCCTTTACAACACATGCACAACATTTATCCATTTTTTTTCATCCAGAAATCAAAATCTCTCGAAAAAATAACAAGTGACCAACAATATTAAATGGACATATCAAGATATTTTTCATTTTTGCATTAATTAAATAGACAGAAAGGCATATGTCGTACGAACAAGTTGCACAGAATCATCCTTTTGTGTAGAGTGAGTTGTGATTCAATTAGTTTGTGAATCTTATCCACTCTTAAAATGCACAATCATTTCATAGGAACTTAAGTTTCTGGCTTTCACAAAAGTGAAAAGGCAATAGAACCTGATTCTTTATGGAGTATTCATGTAAAAGAAAAAGAAAATGTCTGTTTTAGAGAATTAATATATATTTGTATATTATAGAAATAAGTGATGCCTTTAGATATGAAAATAACCTACTTGGGAATCATGATAGGCAAAAGGAAAAAGGATTAGAATTTGATTTTATGAATTGATAAAGAGTTCAGGCTGAGTTGAGGAGTAACAGACCGGAAAATGGGAGAACCATGATGAAAGAAAAGAAATCTCCCGGTCATGATTTGAAATAAGTTGAACACATCTTGACAGTTGAAGTTGAGATGAGAAGTAACAGACCGGGATATGGGAGAACCATGATGAAAGAAAAGAAATCTCCCGGTCATGATTTGAAATAAGTTGAACACATCTTCACAGTTGAAGTTGAGATGAGAAGTAACAGACCGGGATATGGGAGAACCATGATGAAAGAAAAGAAATCTCCCGGTCATGATTTGAAATAAGTTGAACACATCTTCACAGTTGAAGTTGAGATGAGAAGTAACAGACCGGGATATGGGAGAACCATGATGAAAGAAAAGAAATCTCCCGGTCATGATTTGAAATAAGTTGAACACATCTTGACAGTTGAAGTTGAGATGAGAAGTAACAGACCGGGATATGGGAGAACCATGATGAAAGAAAAGAAATCTCCCGGTCATGATTTGAAATAAGTTGAACACATCTTCACAGTTGAAGTTGAGATGAGAAGTAACAGACCGGGATATGGGAGAACCATGATGAAAGAAAAGAAATCTCCCGGTCATGATTTGAAATAAGTTGAACACATCTTCACAGTTGAAGTTGAGATGAGAAGTAACAGACCGGGATATGGGAGAACCATGATGAAAGAAAAGAAATCTCCCGGTCATGATTTGAAATAAGTTGAACACATCTTCACAGTTGAAGTTGAGATGAGAAGTAACAGACCGGGATATGGGAGAACCATGATGAAAGAAAAGAAATCTCCCGGTCATGATTTGAAATAAGTTGAACACATCTTGACAGTTGAAGTTGAGATGAGAAGTAACAGACCGGGATATGGGAGAACCATGATGAAAGAAAAGAAATCTCCCGGTCATGATTTGAAATAAGTTGAACACATCTTGACAGTTGAAGTTGAGATGAGAAGTAACAGACCGGGATATGGGAGAACCATGATGAAAGAAAAGAAATCTCCCGGTCATGATTTGAAATAAGTTGAACACATCTTCACAGTTGAAGTTGAGATGAGAAGTAACAGACCGGGATATGAGAGAACCATGATGAAAGAAAAGAAATCTCCCGGTCATGATTTGAAATAAGGTGAACACATCTTCACAGTTGAAGTTGAGATGAGAAGTAACAGACCGGGATATGGGAGAACCATGATGAAAGAAAAGAAATCTCCCGGTCATGATTTGAAATAAGTTGAACACATCTTGAGAGTTGAAGTTGAGATGAGAAGTAACAGACCGGAAAATGGAAGAACCATGATGAAAGAAAAGAAATCTCCCGGTCATGATTTAAAATAAGTTGAACACATCTTGAGAGTTGAAGTTGAGATGAGAAGTAACAGACCGGAAAATGGAAGAACCATGATGAAAGAAAAGAAATCTCCCGGTCATGATTTGAAATAAGTTGAACACATCTTGACAGTTGAAGTTGAGATGAGAAGTAACAGACGGGAAAATGGGAGAACCCTGATTTAAATTGTTGATAGCATCAAGACAGAAGAGAAATATTCCAGTTAAAATTTGATGATAAAGATTAGACTCGCCTAGCACACCTCATCCTTAACTTGAACCCTATTTCCTGATTGTTTGAAAACTGGTTACTGTGACTAAATTATCATTATTTTAGAAGAGGTAACAATAGAATTGTATATCGTGGGGTAGGTTTTATTTTCTCTATCATGATACTCTCTCTCTCTCTCTCTCATCACAGCCATGATAGCTGCTATGCAGAAATTTAAAAAAATCACTCAAAGTTTCTGAACTGCATTTCAGCAGCTATGAAAAAGAATATCAGAAAAGGGAGAACATATTAACCTACCACCATGCATTTCTAGTTTTCCAGGCACAAACTCTTGTCAAGTCGTGTGTAGGAGTGTGTGCATATATTGAAGCTCTGTACTTTACTTGGTCTTGGCAAGGTAAAAAACCAATGGAGCTGGCTCTGCTCACGGCTTTAGGAAATGTGGTAAAATGTCAATTTAAAGCCTGCGCCTCAAGACTAATGAGTTGCCATGGTTACCTTCCTTGTTATGGAGCTGATTTTGTTAGTGTAACATGGATTTCATCATGGGAAAGAGGATCGGTTAGAGAGATAAGGTGTGCTAGTCAAAGATCTAAGATCAATGTCTTCAAGATGGCTATGACTCATAGTACCTGTTTGAATGAAGTAGTTTTGGTAAGCTTTTTTAAAATAAGATGTGTTTGCATCATCACCATAGCGATATTTGAGGACGGCAAGAAATAAATCGGTTTTAGAACTTCATGTTATTTTTCATCAGTAGTTTAATACCAGTATTGGTAAATGAACAAAGACTTTAAATTGTACCATTCGCCCTAAAAATGTTCTGCTTTTATTGTAAGAGGTTGTCATAGAAAGTTAGCATTTGTTCTTGCATGATAACAAGTTTATGAAACGGGACCCTGAGCTTTGCGGATTCTAACATTATGGGATATGGCTACATGGCAGAGATAGAGTAATAAAGGAAAAGAGGGGTGGCTGTGATGCGGATCGTCTCCTTCGGCTGACTAATTTTCAATTTCCTGTTCTAAACAAAACTTGGATCATCAATTCACCCTCACACAGAAAGCGTAGAAGGTTACCTGATTGCTGTGATAGAGGCATTAATGTAAACTCTTGTTCTGATGAGATGATGAGATATATGACAGGTTTATGACAGGTTCTATGTCATTTTACTTTTAGAGTGTGCCAACATGAGATATATGACAGATTTAAAACAGGTTCTATGTCATTTTACTTTTAGAGTGTGCCAACATTTTGTATGGTAATAGTTTCATGTCGTAATACTATATTCAAAGCATGAGCTTCAAATATGACTTCTGTATTAGAGATTTTGCGAGTTAACGTTTTTTGTTTTTTTAAAAACAGGGCCTTGGAGTCCAATTTGTTATTCTATGAAATTCTGACTATTTCACACTATGGGAATTACATGTAAGGTTTCCATATCTCTGCCAAGAGTATTAATAGGGTACCTCTTGATATGATAGCTCAAAACCGCTCAAACTCTCCAGAGAATAGATGCACGAGTTCTCCTTCTGTACAACCTGTTTTAGATTGTTCTTGTATTTTGGGGTAATTTGCATTATGGTGAGTGCATATATTTTAATATGTATCCTTCGTTTACTAGTTTACTACATACTCAATTCAATTCAATTCAATTTTGTTTTTATTGTAAAAAAACAACTTGGCAAGAGTCTGGAGACTAATATTGTCATATTTACAGTAAAATACAAAAAAACATGAAATAAGGTGATTAATTGTTTATTTACATATTGCAACAGTGTAGGTCATGACGGCAAATTAATTATCTAAATCTAGAAAGGAATTTTAAAAATATATGACAATTGGTTCTCTTGACTTCTTCCTTATTAACAAATGATAGAAATCTTTCACTTTCATAAGAAAAACATGCACTTTATCCCCTGTTTCTATTTGTATAAGATTAGAAATATCACATTCATTTTCAAATTCATTGACATCACTTAATCTTATCTATATAGTTATAACCAACACTACGGAAATGCTTTCTTGAATTTTGTATATTTAAAATCAAATATTAACTGTTGTTCGTTCACTTTTTCATTAATTAATGTAGAGTCATTCCAGATACCATTTGTAATCAAGTTATGAATTTTCAATAAATGATATCTTGCCATTCTTGAAACAAAATATTTAAAAAGTAACAAACCTATGCTCTTTCCAAAAGTAGACACGTAAATAAGAGATGCAGAAATTTGAAGTTCAGTTTTAGTTTTAAAAGTAGAGACACAGATATGAAATGAGATATGACAATAAGTAAAGATAAAGAAAGACATTAAAGAGATAGAGTTGAGTTGGATATGAGAGAGAGAGAGAGAGAGAGAGAGAGAGATAGAAAGAGGGAGAGAGCGAGAGATAGAGGGAGGGAGAGAGCGAGAGAGAGAGGGAGAGAGAGAGAGAGAGGGGGGGGGGGGTGAATACATATACTTGTATCTTTAAATCACACCTAAGAAATGTAGAAATTCAGCCAAAAGATACTAAATTCCTTATTCTCAGTGATGCTAAAATGCAACCTACATTTGACAAGTATTTAATATTATTTCTAATGACTTTCTGCAATCTCTCTCTCCTCCACAGTGAAGCTAACCTAGCTATGGCATCCTTCATATCAGACTCCATCTTGGATGAAATCATTGAGCAACTCTCCAGTGTGGAAGCAGAGCTGGTAAATGAATCTGTCTTGATATCAATCTACTCTGACATTTACAAAATGGTTAACTTATTGTGAGAAGCTGATACATCAGTCGCACAGACTCCAAACTATTTCACTGATTATTTATGATTGAATGTTACAAGTTTTAAAAGCATTTAAGCAACTAGAACACCTTTACTTCACATGTTATCAATACATAACTACCGGTAATGTTTATTAGTCAAATTAGACTACCTGAGACCCTTCTATGATTGGTCTTCTTCCAGATGGGTTCTACCATAATTTTGCACAATTCTTTCAGATACAATACATTTAATGCTAATAAATAGTAACACATGAGTCAAACCACCTAATAATTGATCAAGTATTCACATTGAATTCTTTTTTATGCCTCCGTTACGAAGTAGCCGGAGGCATTATGTTTTCGGGTTGTCCGTCCGTCCGTACGTATGTACGTACGTCCCGTTCTTGTGATCGCGTTATCTGAAGAACCGATTGATGGATTCCTGCCAAACTTTGGTCATGTATGTATCTTGCAGAGCCGATGAACTGATTAGATTTTGGGGTCGCGAGGTCAAAGGTCACAGGGCTCATTAGGTATGTAAAAACAGCTCGTGATCGCGTTATCTAAAGAACCGATTGATGGATTCCTGCCAAACTTTGGTTATGTATGTATCTTGCAGAGCCAATGAACTGATTAGATTTTGGGGTCACGAGGTTAAAGGTCACAGGGCTCATTATGTATGCAAAAACAGTTCGTGATCGCGTTATCTCAAGAACTGATTGATGGATTGCTGCCAAACTTAGGTCATGTATGTTACTTGCAGAGCCAATGAACTGATTAGATTTTTGGGTCACGAGGTCAAAGGTCAAAGGCGACAGTGCACATTATGTATGCAAAAACAGCTTGTGATCGCGTTATCTCAAGAACCGATTGATGGATTCCCGCCAAACTTAGGTCACGTATGTTACTTGCAGAGCCAATGAACTGATTAGATTTAGGAGTCATGAGGTCAAAGGTCAAAAGCCACAGCGCACATTATGTATGCAAAAACAGCTCGTGATCCCGTTATCTCAAGAACGGATTGATGGAATCCTGCCAAAATTAGGTCATGTATGTTAGGGTGCGTTCAATCGAATTTTCGAAGCTAGAATCACAAACATGAATCACAAATCAAAACGCCATTACAATAAACAAGGTCACTGCGGTTAGCGTTCAAGCGATTTTCCATCAACGCTGATTCTAGCTCATTTCGAGCCCAACCACTCGCATCACACTCGCAGTTTGACCCAGGAAGTCTAGGTCAACTTCGGCGCGCGCTTTTTTGAATTGTTTACGGCCGACTGTCGACTGCTGTATTGAGAATGAGAAGGTGATATAAGGAAGAAACAAACAATTACATAAGGAAAGACAGAAAGAAAAAGTGATAGAGTTATTAAAACAAAGAATAACGTAAGAGAAGGTGATATAAGGAAGAAACAAAGAATGACATAAGGAAAGGCAGAAAGAGAAAGTGATAGAATGCTTAAAACAACGAATTACATAAAAGGTGATAGAAGTGAAAAACAAAGAATAACATAAGAATAGAAGGAAGAAACAAAGAATAACAAAAGAGAAAATGATAGAATTAAAACAAAGAATAATATATACGAGAAGGTGATAGAAGGAAAAAACAAAGAATAACATAAGAATAGAAGGAAGAAACAAAGAATAACATAATGAAAGAGAAAAAGAGAATGTGACACAAGGAAGAAACAAAGAATAACATAAGGAAAGACAGAAAGAGAAAGTGATAGAATGATTAAAACAAAGAATAACATATAAGAGAATGTGAGTGAAGGGAAAAAAACAAAGATTAACATAAGAATAGAAAGAAGAAACAAAGAATAACAAAAGAGAAAGTGATAGAATTGTAAAAACAAAGAATAACATAAGATAATGTGATAGAAGGAAAAAAACCAAAGAATAACAAGGGTAGAAGGAAGAAACAAAGAACAACATAAGGAAAGACAGAAAGAGAAAAAGAGGAAAACAAGGTATAACATAACGGAACGGGCCACGATGAAGAGCATGGTATAGTAAACGCAAATTGCATGAAAAGCAGGCGCGCGGTTTTTGGCCAAACCGGAACAGGTTCCGTCATACAATCATGATTGAGAACTCCGTCCGTTCAATCGAATTTTAGCGACCGTGATTCTGCAGAATCATGATACAAAACGCATCTTTTTCAGCGTTTCATGTTTGTGTTTCCAAACACGTTTATTTTTACGACCGACGAAAAAATCGCTTGAACGCATTGCATTTTAAACTAAACGTCTTTAGAAACCGTGATTCTAGGGTGAAAAAGTGTCGATTAAACGCACCCTTACATGCAGAGCCAATGAACTGAGTAGATTCTTGGTTCATAAGGTCAAAGGTCAAGGGCTTATTCTGTATATGAGAAATTGCTTGTTATCACGATATTCTGAGAATGGATTACAATTAGTGCTGTAACATCGCGGATATCTCCAATTCCGTTTAACCGCCTGTCAAAACCGGACGGTTTTCGGTTAAACGATTTATTTAAAAAAATAAAAATAAAAAAATAAAATAAAAAAAAAATCTTTTTTTTTTTTTTTTTTTTTTTTTTGGCCGTGTGAAAAAGCAGGAAGGTGATTTAACTGAAGGCGCCGATTTGTGCTTGTGAACTAGTCACAAATAATAGTAACAATGTCGTTTTAGAATAATTTGTAAGATCATTAAAGTAAATTAAAAACAGTAGAGGACCTAGGATAGAACCTTGTGGGACACCATGTGTTAAACTTGGATGAATATATATTGAGATCTATTACAAAGATTACTTTCACACCAAGATGACAGTCAAATTTGAGTGTTGTTCTAGTTTCCAAGTGGTAAGTCATCACACCGATTACTGAGCTGGGAGACATTGCCAGGCATAGTGCCAGGTGGAGGGGCATAAATCGAAACTTTAAAAAAAAAAAAAACGGGAAAACGAAACCGTCCAATTGAAAACGGAATCCGCCATGGGCGGTCGGATACCGGACAGTTAAACGTTTGACTACAGCACTAATTACAATTGAAATTGAATTCGAAAAATTTCTTCTGTTTTGGTTTGTAAAATTGCTCTATGATGGAGGCATCATTTTCGACTGCGCGCAGTCGAATTCCATCTAGTTTTGGTTTGTTTTTTGTTTTTATTTGATAATTTTTTATTGATCCAATAACATTTTTACATTACATAATACAAATATACAGACATTTATATCCATGTAAGGACAATAAATCAAAGAAGAAATCAAATGGATCTATAGTATAAAGAATAGAAAATGATAATAATTATATTTGCTTATATAGCGCCTAACACTTACTTTATCAGAAGTCTCTAAGCGCTCTACAATAATGCAGCATAATTACCCTGGCTTTAGCAGTGCAGCTGTTACGCGTGCTGCGTTTCAAGGAATAAAATATCAGCGATCGTCAAAATTCCCCCTCCCTAGAACAAAAAAGGATTTCTGTCAGCGTTTTATCATCTGCTAAACTGCTTAAATAAGATTATTTTCTAAAATTCTGGAAATTAAACGCCATTTTTCAATTTTTTTTTAACCATCTCCCCCTTTAGTCTGATGAACTCAAGAAGTTCCGAGATGATGTCGCCAACGGGACAACGGTCCGAATGGTGGACAGCATATCTGATGAGTCTATAGACATGGAAGAAGACGAGAAAGAAGAAGAGGAGGATGAGGAGGAGAATGATGAAGGAAAGACAGAGGAGGAGAAGGTGGTCGAGAAGGAGAAGGTGGAAATCAAAGTTGAGTCAGCTGACGGAGATGATGCTGATGAGGGAGCCCTTCCGAACGGTAGCATGGAGGAATCGAAAGGAGATGAGGACACTGGGGCAAGCAGAGAAGGACAAGATTTGCCCCTACCTAGCCCTCCACCTATGGTAAACAAATGTTTTGTAGTAGTGTTTAGGGTAGGATTTTTATGATTAATGGATGTGGACTTTATGGTTCAAAATTATCGCTGATTTGTGTAGATATTTTTAGGATATGAGAATACAGTGGTGATGATAATGAAGATGATGATGGTGATGGTGATGGTAATGAGGATGATGATGATGGTGATGGTGAGGATGAGGATGAGGATGATGATGATGATGATGATGGTGAGGGTGAGGATGAGGATGATGATGATGATGATGATGATGATGATGATGATAGTGGTGGAGATGGTGATGATAGTGGTGGAGATGGTGATGATAGTGGTGGAGATGGTGATGATGATGAGGTTAATGGTGATGATGATGATGATGGTGATGATGATGATGATGGTGAGGATGAGGATGAGGATGATGATGATGATGATGATGATGATGATGATGATGATGATGGTGGTGGTGGCGGAGATGGTGATGATGATGAGGTTAATGGTGATGATGATGATGATGATGATGATGATGATGATGATGATGATGATGATGGTGGTGGCGGCGGAGATGGTGATGATGATGAGGTTAATGGTGATGAATGATGATGGTGATGATGATGATGATGATGATGATGATGATGATGATGATGATGATGAGAATAATAATGCTGGTGGTGGTGTTGATGATGGTGATGTTGATGATAATGATGTTGATGATGATGTTAATGATAATGTTGACGTGGTGGTGGTGATGATGATGATGTTAGTGATGATGAGGATAAACCAAGTGATTATAATTCTGATTCTCTTATACTACAGTATTAACTGTACCTTTAAACATTAATTTATTTATGAATTTGGTGAATGATAATCCTAATGAATATAGTCATCACTTTCATGTTAACAACAATATATATTTTGAATATTTTATTAACTTGAGATGGTTTGTGTCAGCCTTAATGCCTCTTATTTTGTATGGATAGTGTTCTTCATCCTAGATCTTTCACAGGGTTATTTCCCTTAATTAAATAAAATACATGAATATTCATTGGTTTCCTTTATATCTTTTCCCAACAGACCAAGAAGCACAATATTCGAATCCAGAGACACAAGAGCATGAAGCGACCTGTTTCTGAATTTCAACGTAAGTATCCCTCTTTAGTTTGGAATTCTTTATCTGACCTTGGAGTGCATGATTCAATGAAGTCCATCAGCCGTCCATGAAGTTTCGGATTATTTTTTTGCCTAAAGTGTATAGTTAAGCAAAGGTTCCCAGCTGGATGCAATTTAATTTCTCAAAGGTCCTTTCTCCTCTTAAGTCCACCCTCTACCACCACCACCACCACCACCACCACCCCCACCACCACCACCACCACCACCACCACCACCACCACCAACACCACCACCTCTAATTAAAATTCCAGAAGGTGTATCTCAAAGGATTACCTAACAAGGAACTGAATACTATTAAAGTTAATGTGGTTATGAGCATTCACCCTGGTATTTATATCTGGTTGTTCTTCATGTGAATTTTGTTTTATTTTCTCAGCTGCGATCACTCTGACTGATCTAGATGTAGATGAGGTTGCTAAACCAGATGAAAGGCTGAGTCCCAGTCCTCTAACGGACATTCCCAACCTACCGGAACCTAACACGTCGCAGACAGATGGTGGCCTTCCTATCACTCCTGTCACTAAGGGTCCCCCTTCAAAACGAAAGCAAGATCCTCCTAAGCACAAGCCTAATTCTAAACCCAAGCGCGTTGATGTTGACTTTGAAGCTGTATCATGCCAGGCAGCTACAACTCTTCGGGACCCGAGAGTTGATCGTCCTAGGGTTAGTCGTGCTTTCAGACCGGAGCGTGCCCGCCCTCCTCGTCGTCCGGTCAACGCTAATCCCAGCCCGGAAGCCGTGGTAGAAGAGGAGAGTTTGGATGATCTATCAGCTATGTTTAGCTCACCTATCGTTGAAGGGTTTGAACCTAATGAGAGCCCATCATCTAGTCCAGCAGGATCACATTCTAATCTGTAAGTTAACTTCTTCACAGTTTTGGTCAACTAATAAACCCAAAACTAGACTGCCATGGTTAGCGTTTGTCTCACATACGGTGGACATTTTCTGGTACCATTCCCATGGACCTTATCATTTGCTCCGTACTAAAGTAAAAATCAGAATTTGTATTTTCCCTCAAGGAAATGTTCAATTATCCAATGCACCCTAAATAATGACTGCTAATATTTGTTTATACAACCCCTGTATGAAAAAATAAAAAATCAATTCTGTCATCAATAACAAAGAATATAAAAATTTATGAATTTATGTTCAGAGCAAAATGGAGAGGACCTCACAAGATACATTAATGTTGCTAATTTGTGCTTGATTGATCGCAACTTCAAACTTATTCTTGCCAATGTTTGCTGTCACTGTTTACTGGCAATGGTCTCTCAAGGGACCTACAAATCATGGTCACACATCTACAGAATTGAGTTTTTTTGATAGTTCATTATTGAAGGAAAAAATATTATCTAAAGATCATAATTGAGCGACCAATGGTGAGAGCAACTAGTGGCATGAATTGTCTGTCCTATTTAAGTGCAACTTAAAGTTGATCTTAGTCTTTGTGAAACACTTCCCAGGTCTGTATGTTATTGAAGTTGTACTTCACTGTGTTCATTTTGTTTGTTGTGTCTTGTACAGATCTGACCCTAAGAAATCAGAAAAGAAGAAATTATTTGGAGGCTTGTTTACCAAGAAAAATAAAGAAGACAAGAAGGAAAACAAGAAAGAAAAGAAAGAAAGTAAGAAGGAAAAGAAGGAAAGAGAGGAGAGAGAAAAGAAAGAAAGGGAGGCGAAAGAGAAGAAACAAAAGGAAGAAAAGGAAAAGAAAGAAAAAGAAGAAAAGGAGAAGAAGAGCAAGAAAAAGGACAAGACACCAATCTCTCCTTCCTCTTCCTACAAAAGGTATGTTGATTGATAAAACAGTATACAATTATTGAATGCTCTGCAGTTCAGTATAACAAAATATATGAACCATCATATTCACTGTCCCAGAGAGACAGTGATACGTATCTTTACCAACAGTAATTGATTGTATTTACCTTCACTCTTTCAATGTGAATGAAACGAAAAATTAACAAGAAATTGCCAATTTGGACACGAAAATAATTATTATAGATTTTGCTGTGCATTGCCAATTTAGACACTTCACTGATTATTTTACATAAAACCACTCTTCTGTTATGAATTGCAACAGAAATGGGCTCAAATTCCGTGATTTTTACACTTCCTGCTCATGTACAGTTTGTAATTCAGAGCATTCTGGTTCAAAAGACAAAAATAAAACATCACTTAAAGGTGACACTATACTGCTATCGGATGCTCGGGTCTCATTGTAAATCACTGATCAGACTGATGTTAAAGATAAATTTGAGTTCTGGTCATGCGATTGCATTGTCAAAGAAACTTTGTGGAATCGATCAGAAAAGTTGATCATCTAGCATATATTAAAGAACTGCAAGGTTCTGGAATCATCAAAATGATAAGATGTTTTGGCCCAGTCTTTGTTAAATTACAAGCACGGTACACAGAAAGATGTATATGGGACTACACAAACATGTGGCATGAAAATCTGTCCCAATTTACATGCCATATTTAAAATATTTAGGCATTTGAAGAGCCATGCTTTTCAGGGAATATGTTTTATCTGATGTTCTTCCACACTTGCATTATAATGCTCACAAATATTATTTCACCTCTTCCCAGAACTCCATTTTCTCTTTAAACTGATAAACCAACCCTGTTTTGTTTGATTTAGTGAGCCAGCCTTTGATGACATTGACCGAGCTAGTAAAGCAGAGCCCAAATCTCCTCATCTCGACCTGTCTTCCACACTGGACTCTACTCACGATGGTATGCTAGCTGTGCTTTTAATACATCATTAAGCTTCATTCAGATATGATGCAGCAAAACCGCTGCAGTTGTGTACATGGCAGGAATTAATTCTTTGAAATGCTAGAGCGCCGTAATGGCAGCACAGCTATATATATAAAGTCGGGTAATAATCTCCAAGTTTGAAAGCGCTTATTGATTGTAATAAGCATTGTATAAAAACTGAGTATTATTATTATTATTATTATGACAGAGCTACCAAGTGTCACGCATTAGGCGTGACGTCACGCATTTCGAGGGTCTGAAAACGCTCTCACGCACGTCGCGCGCGCTAGATTTCGAAAAAATGCTATACCTTATACGTGTGTTATACCCTCGCATGCCGAATCATGAAATTATCACGCATTGTTGATCTTTGAACTTGGCGTCTCTGTTATGATGAGGTTAAGTGTAACTCGTATCACATTTCTGCATGTTATAACACAGAGCTCAGTGGATACGTGCAGGACCTTGCTGTGCACATGCAGTTGCCATTTACGTACTCTTTGAAAAAACAGCAGCTTTTTTGCGACGGTTTACCGCATCATACCTAAGGGTATTTCATAGGATGCAGCTTATGCTGTGCTTACACTATCAAGGACCCCAGGACTATTTATTATGTGATTACTACTATGAATGTGGACACCAACTTTTGGCAGAAAATATATATCTATTTGATAGGTTGACAAATTTATATTTTGTTGTGAAAATTTGAAATCAATTTGGCTATAGAGTATTATTAAACTTGGCTACGTTAAGATTTTGAGGGAGTGTAAAGCTAGCATAATTGACATATGCGTGGCATACAGCAGGGCTCCGGATAAACTATTTTGGATGAGTGTCCGGAATTAGTTGAAATTTTTTTGGGGTCGGGACTTAAATTTTTGGGCGCCCATGTGTGTGCATATAGAAATGATCAGTTCATAGATATCATAAGACATCTGGTCCCCATGGACTGCTTGTAAGCAAGCAACCAGGGGACTGATGGCTTTCAGTCTTTTCTGATCAACTTGGTATTAATGAGGATTAATGCCTCACCAAAGGGCAGAAGCTCATCGAATTGATTTCGAAACCGGAACCTCCAACTTACGAGACCACTAGCTGCTCTACCTCTGAGCCATCACTCAGAATTAAACATTTAAGATGTTTTTATTTGTTTGTGTCAGCAGGTGCAGGAAAGGGGAAAGCAGAACATGAGGGAGACACTACTGATGCCCCTACCAAGCCTGACCTGACAGACGACCAACCTAAAGATAAGATGGATGAACCTGCTGCAGTGTCTCCCAAGCTGATGCCCAAGGTAGCACTGCGTCCCAAGACCCAGGTCAACTTGTTTGGAGCTGATGTCATGCAGCAGATGAAGGAGAGGAAGAATCTGAAGCCGTCTCATAATGAGGTCAGATTATACTCATCCTGTCTTCATTTCAATGTTATATCCTTTGGCAATTAATTTAAAGATAAACTTGATTTATGGTAAATATAGAAAATAAATTCTCACAGAATCCAACAAAACTTACACTAAATGTTCAAGATTACAAATAAATGACAAACAATTTTTGTAGAAAATGTATAGTGGCTGAGAAATGAGCCTAAAAAGATAAGGAAATCCAGGTAAGTAGGCCAGACACCATGTGCTTAACACGGGTCACTATGGGGAAATGGGAGTTGTGGTTTAATTATCGAAGATGATGCCCAGTAAGTTTTTGTGCGTTTTTTTTTTATTTCACTGGTTCAAACAACCAATCTACTGCTGGATAAACAATCCAGAATAAATCATAGCAATATTCTCTCAAAGTACAATTCCCATACCAGAGCTCAAGATTAACTTTAAACTCTGCAGTTTTACTGTAACAATGATGAAAATTCATTAGGTTTGCATTTATAACCATTACATAATGATGTTGGTTACAATGAAGGGTTTCATTCACCTTTAAGTGCTATACAAATGTGACTATCATTATCATTATTATTGTTCTCTCAGAATGGGAGTATTAAAGAAAAAAATGCTCTGTCTTTCTTTGTAAAATCCTTATTTTCAAAGACCATTTCTTATTTTGAAATATAGAGCAAATATTTTCAAAATACAATAATATAAAATATCTCTTATATTTCTATGTTGTATAACAAGGGAATTTTGTTACCATAGACCATTGTTAAGTGTCAAATCATGATTTACATGTAAAACAATTTTTCATGGAATTCATTGATGTATGCAAGACATCATGGACTTTTGATAGTCATTCTCCCATATAAACCATGAGCTATCTCTGATTTGATCTTTGCAGGATGTAAAGGAGAGTCCTGAGCCAAAGAGTCCACCGGCAGCTCTCAAGCCAGCCTTGCGGTCTTCCCTGCCCACTTCTGAAAAAGTATCCCCCAAACCCCTGGTCCTTCCAACGTCTCCATCAAGAAATCCCTCATCACCTAACCAATCCCCAGCCATGTCTCCGCTCTCACCTACATCCTCATCACCGAGCCCGATATCACCAAGACCGGTGTCCACGTCGCCCAAACCAACCCCTGTTTCCAGGCCCATACCCAAACCAAGGAAGTCAGAACTCCCAGCAGGTGCTGATGCAAAAGCACCGGTAAAGGAGATGAAAGAGGAAGAGGAGAAAGAGAAGGAAGAGGCTGCAAGGTCAGGATCTGCAAAGAGCACATCCTCGATTTCTGGGGAGAAGGCAGAGGCTGCAAGGTCAGGATCTGCAAAGAGCAGATCATCGATTTCTGGGGAAAAGGCAGAGTCGGATACTGCAAAGATCGACAGCGAAGAACAGCCACCTGCTGCTGTAGTAGATCCCAAGCCCCACAAAGAAGAAGCAGCTGAAAAGACCAAATCAGAATTGGAAGAAAAAGCCTCAACAGAAAAGAAGCAGGTGGAAGAATCTGTCCTGAACCAACTAGAGGATAAACACCAAGATGAGAAGAAGGAAGAGAGTCCAAAGAAGCCTGATGAAAAGGAAGTAGTGCAAGAAGAGAAACTACAGGAGAAAACACCAGGAAAGGAAGAGACTCCTGTTGTTAGTGTAGACAGGAGTAAGTCTGCTGAAAGCGATGAAACAAAGGCTTCAGAAAGTGCTCCTAAGGACTCTTTTGTAAGAACAGGTTCTACATCCAGTGACAAACCCTCTTCATTGATCTCATCAGGGAGTCAGAACGAACCAGAGAAAAAGAGTGAACCTATGACCACGCCAAAGAGAGACTCAACTAAGAGCGCATCCCCACCCATTGCCCCCAGGTCATCAATTAATGATGGCTCAACAAAGAGATTGTCTTCAAAACCCAAGCCTGCAGTATCTGTTAGACCTGTCTCCACCTTCCCCTCCAAACCAGTGCAGCCTCCGCCTAAACCAGGTTTGTATTCTGAAACATGAAAAAATGGTTGGTGGGGGATCATGAATGTATATATATAATTAATCCATCATAGCTAAGAGCTGGGTAGATCTTGTATTAAATCAATGGGACTGAGAGAATACAGTCGTCGGTGAGTTTAGTGACCCTTATCACTCACCACTCTTCATACTACATTTGAAAGTGCAATAATAGGGTTTTATACAATCTTTTTGATCTGAGATTGTGATGAGTTGGTTGCGAATATGATGGAATCTAGCCAGCCAGGTCTGTCCTTGATTGGAAGCTCGTTTGGCCACTTCCCCTCAAATGGTTATATTGCCATTCAAATTCCAATTAATCGTTCATGACGAATTGATTAAATCAATGTTGATAGACCAGGAACCCATTTCACAAAGCCTTTTTTCAATGATGAATGACAAAAATTGGTGACAAATCTGCTGATAACCAATCCCAAGCAAGGATTTCACTAGCTTATAACAAAAACTGTCATTTGTTACTGATGACAAGTTTTGTGAAATGGGGCCCAGCTATGTTCTTAGTCCAAAGATATATCCATGTTTAAGTTCACCACATGTACTTGAATTTTGGCATTATAATTGGGGAGTATAATTGGCAGTATAATCTGCTGTCACAGTGTTCCCATAGTCATGGAAATTGATTGTGGTTGTGGGCTTTGTTTGGCTATGGCATCCTTCCAGTTTGAACTGACAATGGGCATGGTATTAGTATGCATCTCAGATGCAACATTCCATACCATCATGGTACTTGGCCATGCAAAAATGCAAAAGTGGTCATGAAAAGCCAGGGAAAGTCATGGAAATTGTTTCTCATATTTCTGTAGGAACCCCTGCAAATTTTTATATCACCTTCTAGAGAGTCGGCATCCATTGTAGATTTATTAAATATGTCTTTGGTGTATTTTGTAGATGGCGTTGCTGACTTTAGGAAATCTTTGAAACCTGTCACGGCTAGAAAACCTGAAGTTAAAGAAAGAGCGTCTCACATAGGACTGGTCAATTCAGGTAAGAACCACAGTAACAAATCATAATAATAGAATGATAGAATGATATTATACAAATGATGCATCTAATGAGTTCAATTTCTGATCTATCTCTGCTTGAGTTGAGGCTGTATGCATCTATTGTAGGTGCATAAACAGCCCCAACAAGAGCGGATAGATCCTGTAATGATTAAATGGAAAAAACATGCCTGATTTGCATCCTAGATCCTTGTCATTGATGTAAAAAGAATCCATTCAACATTATTTGGTTTTATTATCCCTGACAAATACACCCCAAGGTTAATATACATTAGCAAACACACACAGACAATGGTACTGAAAATTTATTGATGTTTAGATAGTGTAAGGATAACAGTGTTGGATTATAATACTTGGCCGTGTCTTATAAAGAGTTTTAATTTATTCAAGTCAAATTGCAAATTGAAATCAGTCACAGTGATGAGAGATAGTAAATTTGAGTTGACTGGAGGATTTGTGATCCATTTAGATCGATCACAAGTCTTCATAAGATAGGGCACTGATGATTATATGAAGAGTTTAATTCCAAAAGGAGCTAAATACACTTTTGTAACTTCAGAGAAAAAATTATTTGTTTACCAGATTTTGTACATGCGTCTATGGAAAAGTGATAATAGAAGGTGTATTTTTTCATTATTGCTCCCAAAATTTAGGTAAATATTTTGTAGAAAGATATCAATAACTCAATTTTCATCAAAAGTGGATTTAGCTCCTTTTGGATTTAAACTCTTCATATGATGAAATCAATTGCTTTCTTTACATCACTGATGATTCGATTCATTAATTACTGTATCAACTCTCCTACCAGGTCCCAAAGAGAGCAATGGTGAAAGCAATGAGAACATACCAAGGAGACCAAGCGATATCAAGAAGAGAGGTTCAAGGACGTCTATCAATAACGGACAACCTCCAAATGATTCCGCTCCAAACACAGCAGCAGAGACACCGCTCAAAGAGGAAAGTGAAGACAAATCAAAAGAAAAAGATGCCATCTTTGTTTGAAAGACTAGTCTTGTTTTCGGTCTAGAGGGAATAGGCCATGGACCTACTTAGGATAGTTATCTTCACATAGATTTCAGGGAGGAACTTGTCTTTGGAGCAGTTGCTGTTGATTGTGGTCGATTGCAAATGTGTCAACCAGTCAAAAGTTATGATATAAGTGTAGAAGTAGTGATTTCTTTCTGGAACTGGATGATCCCTGTACCATTACAACTATGGAAATTAGAGAATTCAGTAGTCATCAGGGTTAATCTTCACGTTTCAAAGACAAATCTCAAGTCATCTTTAACTCTTTACCTGCTTCTCTAGACTAATGGAACAATATTGATTGCCATAGTCAACGTTTGTCACACATGCAGTGAACGTGTGTAATATAGAAGTGTACTTTAATCAATGTGGTAGTCTGGAGCTTTGTTCCATGTCGAATAAGGGGTTCAACTTGAGTGAAGATTTCATTTCAGTAGCCATTGGTGCAACTCTAGTAGATGTTTGAGTGGTTTTAGAAGCTGCTTGGTTTATTCAAGATGGTGTAGGGGTCATCGATTATAGAAATTTTATTTGGTGGAGAGATTCCTCTTAGTTGTTTTAATTTGTAAAGATATTTGATAAATCATGAACTGTTGTTTAATTCATTTGTAATGATTATTGTAAAAACACAATCATCCATGCCGAGAGAGATTATTTAAAGAGATGTCTATTACGAGCAACTCAAATCATGCTCCTTTGCAAAAGTATCATGTTATTCAAGGAAATAAGACTTGCATGTAGTTACTCTGTCATAATCATATGTATATACATGTAGGCCAATTACTGAAATGCTAAAGGCCTTCTTTGTTGGCCAGTTTAAATGATTTATCAGGATAACAAGATAATTTGGGTACTGGTTTCTAAACAGATCATGATTTATGGGAATGAGTTCCATTTTGAGAGGTTCCGTCTCAAAGAATGACACTTTGTACTTATCGATTCAGTCTTTCAAATGTTTTATATTTTGAAGTGTATATAAAACACATTCTTGCTTTTCACGAACAGTTATAAAATGAATTGAGACAACATGATTCTTTGTCATTGTAATTATGGCTTTGAAATAAGCATGATTGATTTGGGCAAGGAGACATGCCCTGTATTAAAGCTCTGTTGTACAGATATTTATGAAATTCTATTTTATAAATTTTTGCTTTGTAGACTGAGTTATTTTATAATTAGTTTGCAAAAATTAACCAAATATTTCTCAGTGTTCCAATTTTTCACCAAAAAAAATGTGAGTCCAAATATAGATACCTGGAAAGCAACATTTTATTTTTCCACCTGAATTTCCAACAATGATCATATTGTGTATCAGGAACTTGCCATTTTGTTTAAACTTTCTTTTATATTTTTTCAAAGATTCTTTTGTATTTATGACTCTATTCTGTTATTGAGGATGATATATCTTTCCACATAATCTCTCTCAATGGTTGTAATGCCCATTTCACACACGCTTGAGGAATATATGAGCCTGCGATATTCATTGAGCATCATGAAGATTATTTGTTGGTGATAGTTTCATTGTTAAAAAGTAGCCAATTTCTTCCTTTGTTAAGCATGTTATATATTGTATCACACATGCTTTAAAGATAGTTGCTCCATGCCTGATTTCTGTTTAACTTCAACATGGTTCACTATATACCAAACACTTGCCCTACACAACTGCAAGCCAAACCCTAAGCCTAATCTTTGACAAAATGAAGCCCAGAAAACATATTGCTTGAGGATATGTTGGATTACCTGCTGTAATCACAACCAAATTTGTTTGTATAAAGATATATTTTAATAATTCTCATACAATAGTGAAGCTTTGATGCTTCCTCATGTGTAATAAAGATATTGTATATTCAAGATTACTCAAGTTATATTTCTCATAAGGCTATGTTGGATATCGTATGCTACAATTTAGCATCTCTCTGTGATTTCATGTCTTTGCTTCATTTATTCTCTCAAATCTTCCATGGAGGGATCCGTAAAATCCTTAGTCTTATGCCATATTTGTAAAAAGAATAATTGTTCATAATTCCTGTTGTCATGACAGCTGACATTTTAATGTACAGTCAGTGGATAGATTTGTATATATTTGGCAAATATAATGTATTTTACACACTTTAGTTGTTAGATAAGTCTACCAAATCAGATAAATCTTGGTGGAGACAAGATTAAATTACTATATGGACCAAATGGAAAAGGGATTACTAATGCCTGTAAAATGTATGTGTAGTTAAGCATTTGTAATTAGTATATGTAGCCTATTTCACTGGTGAGATGAATTTACCAATATTATGATATTGCATGCTTTTTTTTCCCTGTATTTATTTTCTTTCTCAGTGATAAGTTGTAAGCAGAATAGATAAAGGTATATTATAAAAAGCACTTTGGGTATTAATACACTGATGGAGAAACATAACGATCTCAAAATGTATGTATTTCATAGTATAGTTTATATATATAACAATTTATGAATACTCGATGACTTTTTGTTTTTAACCAAGAATCTGGGTGTCAGTAGTTGCTTAATTGGATAGATTATTATTTTATCTTGATTTGGGAGGAGTTGATAGAAGCTTTCATCATGATGCTAAGCTTAGGGATTATTTTTTGAAGATGGCCCTAAATTGATATCAGCCCTTCTTAAAGAATGATACAGCTCTCACATGTAGACACTGCTCCAATAATCCTTGATTTACTAAATTTGTATTTAAAAGCAAGGTCTTGGCTGATGATGCAGTAACCATACATGTTTGTCTTTATGAGCAAATTATATTTCACGATAAGGCACCTGATAGTTGTATTCACTAAATAGATTAACACAATTGTAATTAGTTTATTTTTAATTTAAAATGTTATTATTTAGATTTGGAATGTACTTATCATGGCAACGCAAATAGATTTTATTCAAATATAATATGCAAAACTTTGTAAAAATAGCAAACACTTCAAGGGTATTATTGATAAAAAAGGAACCAGTATTCACAAAAATGAATAAGATTTGAATACCCTAACTGATTGTCAGTCTCTGCTGCTGCTCAGGAAGTTAGAAGGATGAGTTTCAAAATGCACAAGGCTTTTCTTGTATGAAAGTGAAATATATTCCCATTAAAGATTACGTTTAGTTCTGCTATTGCATTGTGAGAAAAAAAATTGTGTCACATACATATACACTAAAGCATACAGAGCAGTAAGTATGCATAATGAGGGCCTTTGTTTGTGTGTTCCCCAATATATTATATATTTTGTCATTTATTTTAAGTTGTTCATTTTTCCACTGAAGTTTCTTTTAGTTTGTGTACTACCCCATGTTGGGACTGGACCCTGTTTCATAAAACTTGATATCAATAACTAGTTACAATAACCGTTATAAGCTACTGAAATCATGGCATCTGATTGGCTGAAAGCAAATTTGTCATAGAAAGTTAGCATTTCTTTTTGATCACAAGTTTTATGAAACAGGGCCCTGGACTTTAAATGAATTCATGATAACTTAGTGTATGTAAATGAAGAAAAAAAGCTTTTCCAACAAAGATGTTGAAATCGTTTGTTTATATTCTTTCATATTTATGTACCATAGAACATTTATACTATAGTAACTGATTATCAACTCAATCCTGTCATCGAGATTAAGTCTTTTAGATTGTTAGGGATATAGTTTATGCATATTAATCATTGGCAGAAACATAATAATAGATTGATAGTTACAAACATTGCAAATGACTTATGATTCCATATATTTGATGATTTCCGTTTTTATACATAACACATTTTCTTTACCAAATCAAGAAACAAACTCATTGTATGCAATTTAGCACATTTTTATCGACTGTAAGTGTAATATGATAATAAAATATGTATATTTTTTGTTGTTTGTTAAGAAAAAAATACAAATACTTCTTTTCATGTGTATTTCGTAATTTCATCTGTAATGGTTTATTAATCCTTTATTGTGGTATCATATTATAATCATATCTACCAGCCATGTTTAATGTATTTATGACATTCAGTCTTCCAACTTTCATAATGTATGTTATACTCCAGATGTCAAACTAACATAACAACTTCCTTATTCTGTATACTTCTGTAAACAAAATTTATATGTGAACAAATTAATGATGTGAAATAATATAATTAATGTTTACGCAGTATAAGTCGTTCAATCCATAACACACTAAAACCATGCCAAGCAATATTAAGGTAGCGTAGCGAAATGTTGTGGCACAAAATGACATGTCCAGGATGCAACTGAGAGGCATAATAGAGACGTTTGTTATTTTAAAGTTCTTTTTTGACATATCTGAATGGAATTTTAGCTAATATTAGACCTCATCGAGATGAAACATGTATTTACCTATAGCTTGATCCACATGGTTGCATGTACCTATGTTGTTAAAAATCATGATTTTCAAGAATTATGCATTTTGTGTGCCAGACGCGTCTTTTCGTGCATCACATTTTAAGCTACCTAATGAATGCAACATTCCTGAGATTGTCTTCTGTAATTCCTTGTATTATAATGTAGCTTCCTTCATCTCAGTGTTTTTCAGTTTCATATGTTTTTCCATGATTGTTTCATTCTTTGTTTATCTATTATATACGTTCCCATGAATCTTGTTAACACATTTCGTAGAAAGCTGTACAAATAAGAATATATTAGACATGAATGGGATTATATAAACGTGATAATTTTGCTACAGATTCTTTACTCCATCAATTTTGCTGTTTCTATTGATTTTTGTGGGCATGTCTTGAGAGCATTTGAAATGTCTGGTAGTTTCGTTGTTACACAATTATGGAAGAGAGATTTATAAGAAATCTCAGAGGAATAGTGGATGAGGGAGAGAGAGAGAGAAAGAGAGAGAGAGGGAGGGAGAGAGAGAGAGAGAGAGAGGGGGAGAGGGAGAGAGAGAGAGAGAGAGAGAGAGAGAGAGAGAGAGGGGGGGGGGCAGGGGGAGATGATGAGAAAGAGACAAACAAGAGAAACGGATTAAGAGAAGAACTTAGAGAGAGAGATAGAAATGGGGTGGGGGTCAGATCAATTTACCCAGATATTTTATCAGAAATTAATGATGGCAAAGAACACATCAGAAGAGGAAAAAGAAGAAGAAGAAAGAAAGAAGTTGATGTTTATTGGCTCATATATATTTCTTTTGGTGTTCATTATTAGTATTATTCAAAGACTGGTTCAATATTGTTGATTGTATAGCTAAACGGCATAGGTGGCGCTCTTCAAAGTTTGATTTTTTAAAATAATTTTTACAATTCAGTCCCATTCGTAAACTATTGTGCTTTGTCGCTTATGTTTTCGGGCGTATTCAGATTACTAGTCTCCTTCTCGTAATATTTGTGATTCTCTTCTGGAATTTGGAGATCATCAAATGTACAGTTGAGGTAAGTTGATATTGATGGAACTGATAACATACTAGGCCTATAAACTTGCAAGATATAGGCCTAGACTTCTAAGTAACTTACTGTCTTTACAGTTTAATCTAATTCTAACTGATCGTGGTGAATCGGATGGAAGTTTGGTGAGCAAATCTGACTGACTGATATTTAGATCTAACCGTCATTTTTTTTACTTTATCGAAAGTGAAGCTAGAATTGGGCTTCTCATGAAGCCACTGGTAATTGAGTGTTTTAAACACACTTGTGGTTACGTAATCTTACGTTTAAAGTCCCTCATTGCAGTGTTGCACGCAATGAATTGCTAAAAAATGAGCCTTTAAATTTATTGTAAAATAAATGTAGGGTCTAACATTACTCATTAGGCCCTATTAAAAATAAAATTGAAAACCTACGTGAGCTTCTACTTGTAGTTCTACTCATTGTTCTAGATCAAACTCGGTATTTAACTCTAGGCCTACAGGTTTAAAAATTCTCATTGAGACTGGTAGACTTTAGCTTATTCTTAGAGTTACTTAGACTGGTAGTACTGGTAGTTCTGTTGTTCAGTTGTACTTGTATGAAAATAATGAAGCCAGGGGTAAGCTAAGTTCGCAGAGATTTTGATAATATTATAAAATGTGCTATTCGATCTAGATCTAGATCTATGATTTTTCATATTGTACACAAATTGATTTAATTTAATTATTACCAAATAGACGGCAAATTTTTCTAATAGAAATTTGTTCAACTAGAAAATTTAACGTCGAAGGAATTCTAGAGATATCGCCATCTAGAAATTCGATTTCGGATCAACGTATTGAATAAATAAAATCATGATGAATTAATCTTGCTAGACTTGCTTATCTCGACATTCTCGGTATTTTGTCCTGTTTGCCCCACTAGTGGCAGTGCTACAGTAAGTACAAGATCAAAGTTGTTATACTAAGATGACGTGTGTCTGGACAGGTTGTGTATCCGGACACTTTATTTAAAACAGCAATTTGAAGAATTTTACATACAATATTTAATAAATCTTTGAGGATTTATGTTCGGCAATATATTAAGGGACAAAACTGATGATGGTTGGTTACTATTTGATGAATATTTTTTTTTAACCCAAACTTCCAAAGGCAAAATATAAGTGTCCGGACAGGCAGACACACGTCCCGTCCCCCCCCCCCCCTCCTCCCCATCATACCTGTTAGTTAGAGGCTTTGAACAGGTCTACTGTAGTAATGTTTTTTTTTAATTACCATTAGACCTCAAAACCTCAATGTCTAGATTTCCTCACATTCTCTTTATTTGATCTGGCAACCAGAGTGTCAGAAATGCCTAAAAATAAACTGTGCTGTTGATTTTACACTATTCAGGTGATTGAAATCTGTAGAAGGAAACCAAGACAATTTATGCATGAAGCACAAGGGAAAATAGTACACAAAATATGCATTTTAGTCAATGTAGAGTCTGTATGTGTGAGTCCAAAGTGGCAACCAATGCTTTCTGAGAATCCAGAGGAATAGGGCAATGGTCAGATGCTCACATGACGCATCAATTGTATTTCGAATTCAAACAAACTAACTCTTCTGAGTTCTGTACATTATTATCATCATTCTTTTTTACATTTTTTTTTCTGGCAAAAGCAAAGAAAAACATTAAATACAGAACAAGAGTACAAAAGAGTCACATGGATGCAAGGAAAAGAAAAAGATGAACTAAATAACATGCAGCATATTGTATTGTATTTTGTTCTGTATCATCTTTTAAACTTCACAGGCATGTTTCTCTATTCAGTCACTTAATGGTTATTCATTCCCTTGTAATTTTCAACTATTTAGATTTGAAAGTATATTTTCACACTTTTTTCATGGTTAACATTAAAATTAGGCAAATATGAATTAAGTTTGTACATACTGCAAGTTCAGGCAAACCACCAATGACAAGCAATTACATTGATGAATTTGAATCATAATCTGTTTCTGGTATAGTACATCATGCTTTTCCTGAATAAAGTTTGAAGTAAAATAAGAATTAAAATCTTTAAATTGGAAGTTATAATAGAAGAATTTTTGTGGTCATTATTTTCATGCAAAACTTGGGAAGTTTTTCTGTTGCATTTTGTAGAATTTATCAAATCAATTATACAGGTTCAATTAATGTACAGTTTATTTTCATTATAAGAAATGAGAGTGAAGAAAAAGACAATATATAATCATAAAAATTGAGGAGGAAGATCTGATTTAGCTTATGAACCCCAAAAAGAGCTGTGATGAAGAAGAAAAAAAAACGGAACAAGAACGTATCTGAGCAATATCATGATATTGCTCCCTGAAAATTGCACATTTAGAATACCAAACTCCAAAATATCTTCTGTGAAAAAAACTTATTTTACATATTTACATGTACATTGATTGGTCCTCTCCAATAGGATGTTAATTGCGCTATGTAAGTGTTACGTATTATTATTAGTAGTAGTAGTAGTAGTAGTTTTGAGGTTAATTGATCTACTCTTTGTAGTGTTCTGCTAAGCCTACCATGCTACATATACAATATACAATGTGAAGTTGTGACATACACTGTACATTGGTTTTGAATTAAGAATGTATTTGTTTTTCTTCTTCTTCTGGTTGTAGCTCTCTGGAAGGATTGCTGAGATGGGTTTCTGACAGTACTGTGATACCTACCTCATCTCTCTCTTCAGCGAATTTTCTGTTCCATGTGTCTTAATGTGAGAACATATGAGAAAGTGATACCAGTCTCAGAATGACTTCTGAAGCTAACAAGGGCAAGGTTTGTGTTTTAATTTTATTTTTCTTCTCTACAATAAATGCTTTAAAAAAACAACTCACCCTCTGAAAAGAGAGTGTGTGTATTGTTTGCATTATGCCTGCATTCACATTACAATATACACTGTAGGCCTGTCCTCATCAGCCCGAGATTGCCAAATAACCAGCATTTTAAATATCCCGATCGCAAATTATCCAGATAATTTGCGTCTTCATGAGCCCGCAGTTGCAGTTAGCAGGATATTTGGTCGAGATAATCATCCCAAGTTTAATTCTTGGGCTAGTTTACAAAATATCCTGCCTTTTTTCCGGTGCCTCTTCACCAGCCCGAAGACTCGCACTATGCGCGAACGCTGAGCAAAATATCTCGAGCTAATTTCTTGAGCTCGAGTTTCGAGGTCGAGTCTAGAGCTGATGAAGACGCGATTTATAACTTCTGGCTTATTTTCCAAATCAGAAATAATAATAATAAATAATAATACATGAGATTTATATACATGTAGCGCCATTATCCATTTTAATTAAATGCTCAAGGCGCTTCAAAATATTAGGGAATAGCAGGCTATTTGTCAATCTCGAGCTGATGAAGGCATACATGTACATGTACATATGTACCTTATGTGAAACCCATTTTACTCCATGTTTATTTTAAGAATGTGATAACGGTGGTCTTTATTACCATGTGTTTATGGAGAGATAATCAAACAGCAAGGTGAATTTACATGCCCCAAATTGTACACAGAACCAACTGAGAGGAGTGAAAGAAAGGTGATCTGAAATGTTAAAGTGAGAGACAGAACTATACAGGGTCGACACCAAAATGTCAGAAGAAAAAAAATTGTAAAACAAATAGTGCGTGGGTGTGTAGAGCATGCCAATATCTGCCCATTTGTTGTGTGAGTCAGTCAGTATCAAATGGAATTCCAGACATGCACGATTAGTCAACCATGATCATTAGTAAATTTTAATACTGAATTTGTTTTTTGGAAGTTGTTATGTGTGTCATTGTATGGAAAGTGACTACAACTTACAGTAGTTGCTCGGTTCTTTAATAGATTGCTTGTGTGCTACAAAGTAAAACCAGAGTATGCCTGTAAGTATTGAAGCTATATTGCACTGATTTTATTGTTTCTATTGTATATTTTAGGAATATCTGATATCAAAGATATTGTACATACAGTACTTGTATTTTAAGAATATTTTTCGAAATTTCATGTTTAAGTAATTGGGCTCTGTACAACCATGTCAGTAAAGAATAAACTATGAAAGTATTCATTAAATGTATCCATTTGACATGATGCGCTTTGGTTGCCATGTAAGGAAAGTCACTTTTTTGTCTTTTATATTCTATTTCCTCATGAAATAGTATGTACTCTAGCAGTTTCTAATATTTGGTTTTCAAGAAATCAACGTTATTCCAAAATAATTAGTTTTTTTTATATTGCTAAAACTCTCCTGTGGCACCCTGGTTTCAAAACACTGATCTACAGTAGGTATTAATTAATTGCATGAAATATACAGGAAATTGATAATGTGTGACTGTGAATTGAGGAAATTAATGGCAGTACCTTTAATCTTGTTTATAGTTTAGGTTGAACCACTGCCAGTAGATCTACCTCTGACTTATTACATGTTTCCTGTGCAATGCTTCCAGAGAGGATGTAACTTATAAGTTCATCAGATCTTCTGACTCAGTATCAAACTAAATAACAGCTATTATAATACAGCAGCCATTGCTTCAGTTCCTAGGGAAGTTAGAAATTTCCTCAAGTTTCTAGTGCTTGTGTTTTTGATACCTGAGTGACTTGAATCGCAGTCAATTTCAAAATGGTAGTTTTGTAAAACTAATCGTTGAGTGCCCTACATTTGAGTGGGACCTGCAAGTTACAAGCGTTTACAAACAAAAGACAGTGAAAGATGATCTGTTATGATACCAGTAAATTTTCACTTGTGAGTGGCTGGAGTATCTACATGTCCTTGCCAACCTTTCCCTTATGTTTCTGACTGTACATGACATGTACATGTTGACACGAGAGGTGTGGTGTACAAGCCAACAAGGTTTCTTGATGTAGGACTACATGTAGAAACTGCAAAGAGTAACTATTTTTGAAGGGTGATTTGGATATACTGCACGTTTATATCTAGATGGAATCATGTCGTGAGAGCTTTTAATACAATAGACCTTCAAATGAACGGATGTGAATTATAATCTGAGAAATGACTGGATTATAAGACGAAATGTGGTAATGTCTAGTTTGGCTGACAAATAGACAACTGTGTGAAAGAATCATCACTTTCTTCATGATTTGGAGGAGTATACAGAACTGATCGATAATTGCCTCTTCTTTGAAAACTTTTGATATTATGCAGCTGTTCTGAATTGGTTTCAAAAATATATTGTTTGTGAAACAACATAGAAAAAGAGAATATATTAAAAGCGTTTGCAAGAGATTTATTGAAAGATCAGAAATGGGGAATATACAGGAGCAGATGTACTATGGGGTAAGGACGATTATCATCTTATGTTTACTTATATTTTATTAGTTTACATCTTTTTTTTGCCTTTCACATCTTTTTTTTTTGCCTTTTACAAAATTTCCATGGATGTATAAGCAGCAAGACCAAGACGGAAAAAAAAGTACAAATGAGGCTAATTTATCTGTTAACACACTTAAGTTGACTTTCAACTGTTTTGCCTCAAACACTTTACTATGGCTTTTCAAACTTTTCTAGACAGATCTATGTAAAGATTCAGCTACTTCATCCTTTTATATAAAGGCTACATACATGTAGTTACAGTGACCTTCAGGAACCCTTGCTTGGGCTTGCAAATAGTGCTCTTTGATATTTATACTCTATGACAGCGTTTTATATTACAGAATCATTATAAATTGCAAGTACTTTTTTTCTGTATGATTCATTTTATGCCACACAAATATACAATAATTGAGCTCTCTGGTCAATATTTAATGTGAGTAATTTTGATGACTTTATTTACCTTTTTTTTTTACTGTGTGTGCAAACACAGGGTGTTTTTATTAAAGACTTGTACCTTAACATGTCTCAAACACATTGTCATCAAAGACTTGGAGGTACATGTATTGCCATTGCAAATATATTTATTTTGTAGTAAGAGGAAGTACAATGTAAATGTACCAGTATAGCTGCTCATATTATTATGGAGTGTCCCTACCTACAAGTGTGTCAATTTATATCCATCTCAAGTTGAGGAAACAAAAAATACAACGCAGTGTACCAGATTCATACAAATTTACATGTGTGATACGTTCATTGTGGTACATTTCTTTACAGGTTGTCATTATATCTAATTAAGGAAATAATCATGTTTATGTTTGTGTATGATCTACATGTATGAGAAGGTTTGTATTATATATTAGTGCTGTCATGGATCAGAAAAAGAAGAAAAATCTGTGTAGTTCTCCTTTGTAGACAGATTAGAGGAGGCAAGTTGGAGAAGGCACAATACATGGGTAATTAGTTCATTCTCAAATGGCCATCTGCCCTCAGAATTCTTGAACCAAACCTCATTTCAGAACTCTGCCTGTTGTCTCTGTCACATGTATGTCGCTGCTCTCTTTCATTTTGTCACTACCAGGAGGATGCTGGGGATGGTGACAAACCCATGGCTAGACAAGGTAGTAAGAAACAGCTTACCCTAATCCCTAGACAGGGAGGGGGGGGGGGGGGGGGGGCTAAATCGATCCCACCAACATCCGCCCCGTTTTCTCTCTCTCTCTCTGTCTGTGCTTGTAGCCCACCTAATGTCTTTTCATCACCTAATCTTATTCATTTTATGAGGGAGCTGATGATGGTGACAAGCGATGCATGTTCTTGAATAGCACATGACACATAATGATAACATCCCTACATGCTTCCAAAGGGCTTTGGAAATTATTACCCTACAGTAGCTTTAGCTCCGGCTGACAGGGAAGCAAGAAACAGCTACCCCAGGTCCCCGACAGGAGGGGGTTATATCGACTCCACCAAACCCCTTTCTCTCTCAGCTTCCTAGCCTCGTCTAATGTTTTATCTCTTTATCTTTTCCATTCTAGGAGGGTGCCGGTGATGGTGATAAGCGGAGCATGTCCAGGCAGGGCAGCAAGAAGCAGCTACCCCAGGTCCCCCAACAGGAGGGGGGCATGACCCCGCCCAGACCTACCTCTGCTATCCCACCCCAAGATCACAACAGTTCCATGGCAGGATATGGACAATTCTTCTTAGAATATGCCTTATTAGCTGAATAGTAAGTCATTACTTCATTTTTGAAGCAGATTTGAATTAGATTGCTGATCATTGCTGTATGTTAAAATCATCATTTGTCCAGCTACAGTACATGTTTGGAAGTCATTTGCCACCAAAGGCTAACAGCACTGCAGTTGAAAATCAATTTCTTATTATTTTATTGAATATATTATGTGTATGTACACTTGACCAGTTTGTTATGAAATTTCAACATATGGTCACTTTTATTTCTGCTTTATTGAATAAGGAACAGTTTTATGATAAAAAAAGTTTTCAAAATACATTGTACGATTTCATTCAAAAATATTTCTTGAATACTGTACAGGTTTTATATGCTTAATTGATGTTAACCTTTTGAACGTCGGTGAATCTCCTTTATATTTGAATTTTATTTTATTTCATAGATTTCTATGAATCTGTAAACAATCACTTTACTTGTATTCTTTCTTTTTACTGTTTAGTAACCAACTTCACAAGCAGAAGTTACCTGGTGTATATGTCATACCTTCAGCTAAATCACCTCTCCGTAAGTATGCATGTCACTAACATCAGATCCCTGTCACGAATATGTGCTATACCATGAACTTGCAGTAGCAAAGTAGGTACTTAGGTTTTGTAAAACAATTTTGTACAGAACGCTTGTCTAACCTTGATGAGTATGAGCAAACAATCTTAACACTTTGGTGGCTTTCTTT